CCGGCCAAGGCTTTATTTCAGAGGATGGGCAACTTCGTTAAACATGTTCGCCCCGTAGGACGTGACTTGTATTTCTGCAAGCACGTCCGCAAACAGTGATAGTTCGTCTACCGGCTCTTTCGGGATAATTTGATAGTTGACGCACTCATATTTACCAAATACAGGGCTCCAATAGTCCTTGCCTAGTCGGACCACTTGCCGGCTGCGGTCGAATCTATTCATTCGGTGTCTTTCTTGGTATAAAATATTCGCTCACAAAGAGCTCGGTCCGTGCTCGCTGGTTTTTTATGGGATACTGGAGTATGACTCGGATTGTGGAGAGATCATGCAAGTCATCAAAAACTACATCCGAGCTTGTATATAGCCCGCGGCCCGAGTTGTGTCGATGGGTCTGCCGTCGAAGTATTGACGCCCGTATAGACTCTCTACCTTTTGTTCGCGCTGTTACATCGCATGTGATTGATTGTCCCTTTAATTTACGAGCACAGAATGTACTTAGTGACTCTGTCATTTTTGACTATCAGAATATAAATCTTCCTACACCGGCGAAAAGGCTGGTAATGTCCTTTATTCTGCCATGGCCTATTTGGCGCTGTCGGTACGACTTGATTTTATCCCCTAGCAATCGCCCAGAGGCGAGAACATTTTGCTCTTCATTGGCCACGTAAAATTCATTGGGTTTTCATGATTCACCATGTCGAATGGCGCTCATGAGTGGCACGAGGAAAAAGAAGGGTCGCAAGAAGCAGCATAGGAGACGGCGAAGACAATCACTCCACAAGAGACGGCGTACAACGTAAAGAGAGACATTGTCAATCTAGAAGAACAAGAGGCTGACTGAGGGTTATAATGAGGCGGACATCGGTCAAGGTAGGATCCTCCAGCAGTGATGTTACTCGCACAAGCATGGTTGGGTGCCAACTGTGGCTCAACTTGACCAATGGCCAGTTTCTACGCCAGACTCGGTCGTCTCACACTTCCAGACGCTCAAAGAAAGCCACCAAGTGATGACAATGGGCCCTAGTACAAGGCTTGCGCTTACAGCAGGCAGCAGCAGTGTGTGAGACGATGAGGGCGTTTCGTACATATCATAGGCCACTAATGCTTAAGCCCCGGATTTCTGTCAGAAAAATGGTAACATGCGTTTACTTTAACTGATGTGAAAGAATACAAGAAAGTACCCAGGACTTCAAGGGTTGTTCAACCGCAAACTGAAGCACCGAGTATCAACATGCGAACCCCCTTTAGACCCAACAAGAACAATCTTGCTATGTGCCTTGTGTTTTCAGTAAGGACATAGGCAAGCATTCATTTAAGAACACTTAACTAATACAGCCGAATTCAGTAAAAATAGCAATATACAACAATTTTGTCAGGGCTCTCTAGTAAAAGAACCATACCTTGCGGGCCTCGCGGCATATTTCGAACAAAGCCATCAGACGCCCCTCACATCGAGCCGCATTTTCGCCTTGGACTACCCAAAAGTCGATACTGACTTGCCAAAACCTGGACATCTGTCAGATTCTAAGCTTTCAGATCAGAGTCCATTCCTCGCTCTCGAATTCTATTTGTGGAGGACATCCAGCCCTCACTAATAAGCTTTCTAGGTGTTTAATTAGACACTGATCCTGTATTCTTTGCAAGTCATATCTCCAAAAACTTTGAACATATTGAGAAAGGGCCACCACCGGTTTCATACGCCTTGCTTCCTTCACAGATGGCGGAAAGCGGATATTCTCAAGTCCTCTTCGGAACAAGCCGTGGGCCTGGGCAGTACAGAGACTTTTGGGAAAGCTCCTTACTCTTTGCATTCTGATTCGAATGCCGCGCAGAATCTGCGGCGGCTACCGGTCTTGGGGGTTCGACAGCTGGCTCTTGCTCGGGCTTGCTGCTCAATACCTGTCAGAACTATGGGCAACTACTGGATCTGTAAGTCAGTTCCCCTTAATTACGCGACGATTTCTTGCTGACAAAAGTAGGCTTAGTGCTAGCTGACACAAAACTGACGAGATTGGTGGATAAGGCCGACAACCTTGGGCCCAGAGCTTATTCCTCAGTTGAGCCGTTACACGGTAGGATTGAAGATCTCGCGCCGCCAAGGCAATCAGTTCTCAGAACCGACCCAAAATGCTGCCCGTGGGAAGCAATTTACTTCATGACTTTCAAACTGAACACCCTACCTTTTCCCGAACCAGCCCCAGCATTCTAAGCCTTAGCTATTTTCCTACCCGAATTACCCTAACAGAATAAATTCGCTATACTGATCTAATAAGTCGCTATGTCAAGCAAGACGAGTATTATTTTTAAGACGTATAAAACCAACATCTTAGCGACAGAATCATTGACCTTTAACGTAAGCAGCGTTAATATTGGGAAAGCCATCTTAAGCTAGACATGCTAGCTGCATTCATTAAGCACAAGCAGGAGTGCGAAAAGACACAAAGCCCTAGATTAGCATGCTAAAAGACATCAAATATATCGATTCGCAACTAAACTATTATAACCACTCGATAGAACAAATAGTCCTCGTAGCTACGTCAGTGGTTCAGCTATTAGATATAAGGTACTCGACAAAGGAGGTAGGGTATGTCAAACAATTAACCCACATTACGCTTGTTCTTGCCCCTTTATCTTGGGTAACTAGTCTTTCCAGTATGGGTGAGAAGTATTCTCCCGGCGATGAGCGGTCCTGGGTTTATGCCGTCATAGCGCTACTTGTGTGACGCGGAAACACAGACGGAAGTTATTCCTTGCCAGTGACTATGAAGTCCAGTCTCGCCAAACTAAAACCATCCTGCAAACGGGAATTTGAAGCTTCGTTTGAGATACTTGGCTTCAACTCGAGAAATAAGGTCAATTATTCACCCTTTCCTAGCTACAATAGAACAAAGACTCTGCAAAGCCACAAGCTCTTGTGCTTCTACTGGATTGAGAACCACAATTCTATATCGCTCCCTAAAGCAGAAGTCCCAATCTGCATTGCGCCCCTTCAATGTTGACTACTAGGAGGAATAATGGTAGCTCCAACGAGGCCTAATTAAACATTACTGCTATTCAAATACGTATGCCACAGAACGAAATATAATCACCAGCTAGCTGGGATGCTATGTTTTCAGAACACAGCTTTACAAAACTGACTTTTTTGGTTAGCTCTTTTAAACAATACAAAAGGTCAAGTTAATGAAATGTGACTGGTTTACCACATTTGTGGTCGACATATGGCAATGAACTACTGCTAGTCGTTTCTGACTAGTGGGATTTTGAAGAGTTGCCAAGCCCTGTCTAATTGGGCCAAGCACGGCTAGGTACTTAATGTCAATTAAGAACTCAGCCATCATCAATCCGTGATATGGAAACTGACCCACGTCCGATGTGGTGTAGTGGCTATCATACTGCGCTTTCAAGGTTAGCCTGGAAGCTCCGCAGGGATCGGGGTTCGATTCCCCGCATCGGAGATGCATTATGTTTTTTGATTTTTTTTACTGCTGGTAGTCCACGACGTGCATCATTTTTTTTTCTCTTAAACACTTGTAACGTCGGCAATTCCCTTCTAGCATCTTGCGCACATGAATCAACGATGTTGCGAAATTGGCACATAATCTGTCCGTGCAATGTTTACATCGGAGTCTAGTCTCCGCCTTATTTAGCAATAGCAGATCCTCTCAATTAATTTGCAAGCTCGGGCCAAGATCAAGCAATCGATCAATTTGCATCATCCTGCGGGATCGGGTGTCCCATTCACTTCCGGGAGACTTTCTTCGGAACACCTAGTCTCCGGAAGAAAGACTCTCGACTTACAGTTGGGCCTCCAGACGTCGGTCATATCGGGCTTACTCATGATATGACTGGGGGAACCCTTGAACCCATGGGAAAGACGATGTGGCGACCTTCCTAATCCAGCTTCCCTCCCCGGACGCCAGAATCGTCTCGTTCAGTGCCTGTCCAGCCATCTGGTGACACCTGAGTGATCTTGTGGATGGGTGATATGTTTAGGATGAGATGCCTCCCTTGCGATACTTCGGCAGTTTCGGCATCGGGGCGCCAGCCGCATTCCTAAACTGGATATGCTGGGAGGACCAAACAACCAAGACAACGTCGCTGAGCAAATAAATTCCGTGCATGATACTGGGTCCTTCTGAACTCAGCGGATTCATTGTGAGTTTCAAAGGTTTCGAAAGGAGGTAGTCATTCTGACGAATGCTGCTCAGTTGGTTGGGGGTTGGGAGCTCGGCAAAGTGAATTTTCCCTGCAATTTGCTACAATACATAGATGTTTCTAATAGATTTGATATTGCCTGTCTGTGTACCGGCTGTGCGGCACTCTCATTTAGTAGCTACGAAGCCCTAATGGCATCGCGACTTTCCTTTTATGGCTAGGATCTTCAGCTATACACACACCAAGGAACAATCGCTTATCGTTGTATTACCCAAAGATCCTAGGCCAAAACATGCTGCCTACCCGGATGAGATAAGTCGATAGGAGCTCTGCGGCTTATACCATGATTTCTAATGAGGTTGCCTCACATTTGCCCAACGTTGCCTGGGTTATTTGACGCACGTAAAACAGTACGAGTTTTCGGACACGAGCGAATTTTAGGAAGGTGTCAAACTTTTGATAATTCAGAAAGACTTTCAAACCACCTGTAACTTTCCTAATTTGTCCAACTTTTATCTTGATCTTTCGTTTGAACTCTTTCACCTTCGATAAAAAGACTAGCTTAGCGTAGACTGGTAGGCACCAGCGCGTGATGTAGTATGGCATTCTATTTTGCAGCTTCACTATAGAGAATAGTATGATGGATGGCATCTACCGCATACTGATTTTCACTTCATAATACCATGTTAAAATCCTTGAAAATGACATCTATAAGAATGGTCACTGCTCCAACAAGACCCTACGATCCTTCCCGTTCCTCACCTCCATTCACGTTGTTGGACTGACAACACTTGGTTAAAATTTGGGGACATCACACCAATATCATCGTTTCTTCAATCAGCATCATGAAGTACACAACTGTGCTCGCTCTTCTTGTCACCTCCGCTGCCGCTCTCCCGGGTAAGGCTCTGAAGAACAACCGGGGTTTGACTAAACGTGCTGTTCGCCAGCAGTCTGTCCCCAACCAGAGGAATATCACGCACCCCCAATACTCTGGTAACTGGGCTGGTGCCGTCCAGAGCGGGCAGAGCTTCACCCACGTTGAAGGTGTCATTACTGTGCCCCAGGTGAGTGGTGCCTACGGTGCTGCCGCTTCCGCGTGGGTTGGTATCGACGGCGACGCTTGCCAGCAGGCTCTCCTCCAGACTGGCGTCTCCTTCTACGCCGACGGCACTTTCGACGCCTGGTACGAGTGGATTCCTGAGGCTTCCTCCTCCTTTGACAACTTCCAATTGAGCGTTGGCGACCAAATCAAGATGGTCATTAATGCCACGGGCTTAACTACCGGGGTTGCTACTCTTGAGAATCTAAGTACTGGCAACAAGGTTACGCACACATACCACAGCAGCCCCTCGAGCCTTTGCCAGAATAGCGCAGAATGGATCGTTGAGGCCTTCATGGAAGGGAGCTCAGAGGTTGTCTTGGCCAACTTTGGAGAAGTGACGTTCACGGACGCCTCTGCTACAGACTCTGCGGGAACTGTTAATGGCAATGGTGCCACAATTATAGACATGCAGGATCAGACTGGAAATGTTCTCACTGATTGTTCTGCCAGCGGAAGCCAGGTCTCTTGCACTTACAATGGCAACTGATCACCTTGACCAATAGCAATGCAGTTGACCATGAGGATAGAAGCGATTTGTCGGTGTAGCGGATAGGGCCACATATACTGTTGATGATATGGATGGTATTGTACTTAGTCTACCTACACGTGATCAATCTTTTATTGGACTTTATGATTATACAAATTTGTGATAAATGTTCCTGTGAATTTTAGAAGAACTCCCTTGATGATTCCGCGGAGCCATGGTCAAGTTTTCCGTGATTGTATAACTAGACATTCTAAATGCTATTACTCTTGTCAGTTAGGTCGTTAAATGTTATAGAGCTTTATAGGGTCGCTTATCAATGGCGAGAAAATACAAAAAGTCGGATGGCGTTAGTAATAACCTAGTAGGATGCGAAACTTGCTTCAATATGCTGAGAGTTCTTGGCTCAGCGGAAAATTCCTCTCGAAGGATTCAGCGTTCGTAGTTGCTTGAATTGCTAATGACCCCCTTTTTTTCTTTAGGCAAGCGCATAATGTTGGAAAGGGCACCCACAGTCCTACTTAGGTTAGTTGTCAACGGAGAGAGAGCGGTGAGTACGGGGCAACCTGGGACTATTATATTTATTGGCGTTAATCTAGCCATGTGAACTTCATCGACACTGAAATATCTTGGTTCAAGTTGGAATCTATGGTTTGGTTGATCTTAAGTAAAGGGTCTCTAGAAACGGTACGACACACTTTTAATGTACCTTGTAAAGATCTGGCCCATATTTGCAGCTATATAAGTGATTTCCGACTGATAAACAAGGTGAGCCCCAGAAAAACAAAAGTTTCGGTAGAACATCCACTTGGTAAGATGCAGCGGTGCATTTTGCGTTCTGAGACTTCTTTCGAGACGACAGACAGGCAATAAGCTGCATGCCACTCCCACGTCGTATCGAGACATGCAGCGCGTCCGAGCAATTCCGACCACAGATTCGAGTAGCAGGGAAACGGCATACTGAGAAAGCAGAGTTGGATCATACTGCTGACAGGAAGCGAATACGGAACTGGGCTTAATCGGATCAAAAAGGCGAGAAACAGCGGCCGGTGGCCCCCATTGCTACACTCTGTGATGTCAGGACGCCATTCTCCATTTTTTCAGAGACACAGATCAATCTAGACCCAGTAATTCGAGATGTAATTGCCATGCCGGCTCATCATCCCTAGTCCTGCCGTAGTTGTGGCTAATAGGGCATTGGGCCAGGCAGGTATCTACCTGTCAAATCGGAGAACTTGTTCTCCGTGCTACGTTTGCGGCAGAAGGTCAGTCGGGAATTGAAGAGGCCGACCCCGAGGTTTCTGAGTGATCTTACCCGGACAAGTGAGCTTATAGATTGAAAGCATCTAGTCCCGCTTCATCTTGTTGCAGAGCAGACTGTCGCTGACACGTAAGCTCCGCCCCCAAGGCTACACAAACCTCGCTCATAGCTGCCTTCGGTCAGGAGAAGGCTATCTATTTGGGCCTTGAACGAGTGACAACGGACTGATGCGATCGTGCATCTTGTGACACTAGAATCCTGGCTTTCGCTTGGGACTGCGACTTTTAAATGTGGCAACCGTCCATGACGCACCGAAACAAACATCTATGCGAAGAGCAACACAACTCGATCTGTGAGTCACAATCACATAATTGCCCATTCTAGCTATCCGCATAATCGACGTTGCCTTGTTATTTATCGGAACGCCATTACCCCATCTAGGTTTTGCACCCTGGTGCGTACAGACTTGACAAAAAACCCAAAATGACAAACCTCCATCAAATAGGCTGGGGGAGGACTAGAGTTCGCACAGGATGCTTAACGTGGTAGGTTGAACATGTCACAGACACACTGGGGCACAGAGTGGCTAATGACAATAAACAGCAGGTGAGTGCCAGTTCTCACAAAACAGGCCATCTTTGGATTTCGGTCTGACTTGAGAATCCTTGCCATTCTAGACAACGGAGGATAAAATGTGATGAAGGAAAGCCACATTGCCTTCGCTGTGTGTCTGCCGGCAGGTCATGCGGCGGCTACGAGCTTCGAGTTCGGTTCGTTAATACGCATGGACACGCCTATATCAAGCACAACAAAAGAGCCAACTCCAAAACCGCAACATCGATCCGACCGCTCTCGCCGGGCCTCGAAGGCTCTGATGCCGAAAGACAGTTCTTCTTCAGCTGTAGGCGAGCAACAGAAGCCGGCGTTGCGATGCATCTATGCAGCATCTCGTCATTCTGGACAAAAGTAGCTCCTCAGCTTGGCCACGTCGATGAAGCCGTGAAGCACGCTCTTGTTGCCCTGGGCGCCACGTATCATTTGGGTAAGATGAGAGGCGGAAAGCAAAATAAACTTCATTTTGACTCAGTTGCAACGGAGAAGTTGGAGCTCTTTTCCACGCGGCAATATAACAGGGCTATTGAGAAGGTGTATGCGCACATTGAGAGCAACAACCCCAAAAGCACTGTATTGGTGCTTGTGTGTTGTTTGATATTCATCTCTCTAGAGTTTCTCCGTCTGAATAATAACGCCGCCATAGCGCATTTACAAAACGGGATACAGATTGTCAAGTCAATCATGGGACGCCTTCACAATTCTCCTTTTAGCGCCTGGGCTAAAGATTTATCCATGTCGGAAGCTGATATATGGGACATTATTGCCCAGTTTTGCAGGATCGAGTCTGCTATGAACGTTTTCTCAAACCATGTCTCGTTAACACTAGGGCTGCATTTCCGAAGGATTTCGTCTCCAACGCGACAGCCTGGTCAGTTCAGCCACAAGCCCATCACTAGTGTAGCAGACGGCTATAAAGCAAGAAATCAGTTTATGAATGACGTTACGGCTCGCTACTCGGAGCTCCAGAAATATCAGGGCAATGAGGCCTTTTGGTCCCAGCGGCACATGCAGCGGGAGATTCGCGCTCTACGCAAATGGGGCTCAAGAATTATGCTCGAAATCGAGGCATTCTGGGCCAGCCCGGAGGCACCACGAGTCGGGACATGGAGTTCCTACAGTAGCAGAATGGACTGGCTACTTATTAGCAGCGGGAGAACGTTGGTGGACCTCATACCTCATGGTGTCAATTCCTTCGCCAAAGTCAGCCAAAACCCGTACATCCAGAATGAGGTTACCAGAGGAGTATCTCTTGCTGCGAAAATGCACTTGGAGCACGCTGCAACGGGAATGCCACCGTCGGAGTTTAGCCTGGAAACGGGTATTATTGCCGTCATGTATTGGGCTTGGGTATTCAGTACTCGACCCGAGACGAAGGCAACAGCCGTGCAGATACTGCAAGACTTGGATAAACGGGAAGGCCCGTGGGATGCCAGCCAAATCTTATCATCACTACCCAGCGTGGTCAATCCTCGTCTACTTATCAGTTAGTGGACGGCTTCGAGGGGACATTATGGAATTCCAGCCGTACGCTGGGTCCACCACTGGTGAACAAGATGAAAGACAATGTGACCGAGGAAACAGGGCGAACTTGGTTTTGCTTTTTGTTGGCTTTGACTGTGCCTAATATCCTCGGGGAAACTAAATACAGAAGCCTGGGGGGCGGGAATTGTTGTAAGGTTTGGCAGCTTCGATAGTGAAGGGCCAATACGTCGTAGTATATTGTATATTACGCTAGGAACAAGAATGGCGTGGCAGAACTGCCACTTGGCCCTAACAGCCGTTCTATAGTAGTCCCGTGGTGGATACAAACCTATTTCAAAGTAGTATCCCATAAGGTTGGGAACAAAGGATCAGTAAGCTGCATGCTGTCCTAGACGACCTTTTTCCCATCTAAAAAGCATCTGACTGGCTAAATACGGCGTTTAAACTGTAGCAATTCACACTGCCGGTGAAAATCCGCGTATCAATGGACGACTACTGCGTTTGTTTGTGATCGGCATGCTGGCATATGAGTGGTCACCGGTTGGACGACATGCTACGACGATTTATAACGTCACATTCTTACATCAGGAGTAAACCTTGGCAATAACGTCTGGATTTACGTATGTTACGACTGCCGAATTTGTGTGAAGGCAGAATCTGCCAAGAGTCTCCGTATCCTTTGTCGTAGCGTCATACTTTGTCCCAGTCAATGTGCATGAGGAACCCACCAAGACAGTTAACAAGACGAAAATGGCTGCGCGGTTTATGCAAGAGCGGCTATATAGCTTCACACACGTCGGAGTTGCCAGGTGGGCAGCTCGGTCTTTATCAACTAGGCCTAGTCCACTCGTACCTTTGGTAGTAGAGCATACTTTAACGACGATTGTCTTACTTCAGCGCGCTTGGCGCGTGTTCGAATGACAGTACATGCAGAAGCTCAGCTGAATAGAATAACAATAAATTAGTGTTTCATGAACAGCATGTTAATTTGGCGTGGTGCATAACCATCTACAGACGCAAAGCAGCCATTCTGTGCGTTCTCCCCGAGCTATATATAATCTCCTCTCCTTCAGACTTTCTAAACAGCATCCTCTCCATCATCACTTAGAACTCCCTTGTCTGATTTCATATACACTATATCACCGTGCTCAAGACTACTATCATCTCACTCCATATGCTGGCAGCTGCGCCTCTCGCTTTGGCTGCCAACCTGTAACACGGTCAAATGGTTTTATTGCGGCAGTACCCTGATCGACACAGCTGATGTCTTCCTTCTCATGTCTGTCGCCTCCGGCAAGCCATTAACACAGCTTCTCGGATTCTTCCAGGGAACTATATCAAATCAAGCGGGATCTCGTTGTCGCTGGTAACCCTACGTCTGATGACTACGTCCACAACTCCCTCTTTTCCTGCGAGGGTGGCTTTGACGGCGACGTTGCCTATATGCAACACTGCGATAAAGGTTGCAACTACAGTGACACCTACAATAGCGACTATTGCAAGTTTTAACGATTACTGCAACAGGGACAGCGTAACAGGCCGTGGGATAGGTTTATGAGACTTGACTGAGCTGTAAGCTAGAGTGTTCCCGAGATATATGGAATGGAGCTGAATTGATTCGGTATGCGCCAGGACCGAAGGCCACTGAGCGTTTCAATAGGCAATTTCCAGGTTTACAGGCTCTTCATCCCTCCACACATTTCAAATACTTTTATTAGTCGCCTACCCAGTTGTTATATACTTGCTTGAACTATTACGTCCGCAAACGGCTTTACACGGCTAGCTCCGCGCCAAAACGTGACAACAAGAGCTTCAAGTGTATTTTCCCATATTTTGAAATACTCATATTTGACTCTGAATTGTTTTGCGTCCTCCAGTCATCGCAAATCTAGGTCAACCTGGACAATAGCACAGAACTGTGCTGGCAAAAGGTGATGCAACTGCTGTCCGAGGTCACCACCTCAAAGTGCCAGTTGAAATGGAAACTGGGAACTGACGCATGCACCTAATCACACACAGTCACTCCCGAAGCTGTGGATATGAAGATTTCTCCCATTATGTTAAGCAGACTTTGTATTGGTGACTAAACGAAAGTACCGGGTTGTGACCGGGTTGGTAGCCATGTAGAAGCTGCCTGCGAGCTGTATACTTGATAACACAAAAAAAAAGCTATCTGGACTGTCCGATAACTCGCATAAGCCCCGATATTTCAGCTCCGATGCAGCTGCAACGAATAGTAATATTGCATAATGCTGGGGACATCATTTGCGCTTGATGTGTCATACCACAGGATAACTGTGCAACGATTCGGTCAGAAGACCCCTCTGAATCGGGCAACTAGAGACTTACGTGATCAACTGTCTCAAGTGAAACAGTCCCACCTCACAATAGCGTGCTACAATTGTGCTTGCTTTGAATGAGCGACCTGATCTTGGCGGCCTGTCTAAGATTGATGATATGGGGAGAGGGAGAAAGGGTTCAAACCAATCGGGTTACGTACGGCACACAATTACGGAATAGATGGGCTATGTCTATGTAACCTTTTATACAAGATCGAATAATGACGTTCGAAGCTTGCAAGAGCAGCGCTGATAACCTCTGGCTAAGTGACTGCATGGCACCCAAGGTGTGAACAATTTAAAAGGATAAAACTCCATCCTCTGAAAACAACCTGTAATCTTTAATGACGGAGAGAATATGCCTCAAGACACCATTGCTGCATCATTTTGCTCCATGTCTCAATGATCGAGCCAATAACGACGGTAACATAGGTGCTTGTTACAAACAGGATATCCAATAAGGACCAAGATTATCGACTGATTAACCACGATATATTTAATTATAATGCGTACTGGCCTTGGCTGGATCTATATGCAGTGGAATCAAGCCCTTGGACGTAAAGGACCCAGCCTTTGAATGTCTAATTCCGGGTGGCTTCTAAACTTCAAAGAACCAACTGAAACCCCCCGATAGTCTGAAAAAAATATGTGCTCAATATTGGTTATGTTTCTTTCACGTCTTTTAATCACCAAGTTGTGGAATTGTCGCAATGTAGGTAGGTTACTATACCATAAGACCACATTTAACATTGGTACACTGCCTATACTCTGCCAACTGGGATCGCCTAATCGCCCCTGAAGCAGCCACCAAGCCAGGTAGGAGCCCCAGAGGCAGTGGAATCAAAGAAGACGGTTGATTGGAAAAGGGGTGTTTCGAGACGTGGACCTCTATACTGACCCAAATATTGATCACTCCCGGTACCATAGCATGAAAGAAGAACGAGATATGTGACACTTGATCTCCGAACTATACTGGTATATTAATCATCATCATGACTTAAATAAGCTCTACAGACCTATCATCTCGGTAGTCGGACTTCTTGGCGTTTTCCTCCATCCGAGCAAGCCGCAGCTGTCTCAGCCTCTGTTCTCTACGACGGTACAGGAAGAGGCCAGCAGCTGCGATAATGCAAGCACCAAGAATTGAACCGACAATAACGCCAGCCAGGGCACCGCCCTTCAACCCAGATCCACCGCTACTTCCAGTGGTTGGCGTCTCAGAGTTCTTAGAGTCACCGGCGGGCTTATCTTTTTCAGCTGCGAACTTCTTGTCGTCTTCACCTGGCTCAGTGGCGTTGAAGCAAGGAATACGCAACTTGAAGTCCGCTGCATCAACGTAGGTGATATCGGCACAGGCATAGAATGTCTGGTTGTGGGGGGCGTCCCAGTCGGCCTTGTAGATGATCTGGAGAGTTGCATTGGTACCTGCGGTAACCCGTGAAGGGGCATCCGGAACTCGAACGCAGGTGTGGCCAGGGTTCAGATCGCTAATGTCGATGGTCTCGACGAGAACACTGAAGTCGGTGTTTGTCTGGGGATCTACATGTCACATAACTTAGCTTCCCATTCAGACCACACAACTAGGCGGGTGTAGCGTCTTCCAAACGCTGCCAACGAGTTCACTTACCCTGCTTATATGAGATGCTGATCTTGCTATTGTAGTAGTCGTCCTGAGCAACAAGAGCAACGGCACCTCCAGCTAGGAGAGAAGTCAGCATTATTCAATAGAAATCGTATAGACCGTAGATACCATGTAATAGGTACCTGGTGAACTGATAGAGGAATAACATGCAGCAAGTTCAATTTGTCAGTGGCCATGGCATGACTTACTGATGGGGAATTTTGTCCTGTTTCCGGCGGCGGCACGAGAGCCGCAAGGCTCCTGATTATCCATGTCGCCCGACCACACTCTGTCAGGCGGCCACATAAAGGCAGCAGGGCCCATGTAATCATCTGTCACACTGGCAGTTGATGGGTTGCTGGGCTTCGGCTCGCTCTGGGCACTGATGGCCGAAGCCAGAGCCAAGCCAGCTCCCACGGCAATCCTGGTCAAGTGCATGTTTTCCGAGTGGCCAATACTGGCAGGCTGAAATGAGAGGAAGTCGTGTGTGAGAGGGAGTACCTTCAAAGGCTCGAAGAAAAGAGAAAAGGAGAAGATGGGGTTCCTTGGTCAACTTATGTACGCAGGCATCACCACCCAAGAGCGGGACAGAATTTTCGCCACAATGGACCACTCGGGCTTGTGACTACTCGGAACTAAGCATGATGTCCGACGAAAAAACACCGGGTGATTGCATGCCATAGGATGGAAAATCCTTTACGCTGGGAATGGGTGGGAGGAGCCACCGGAACCGCCAAATCATGAGGAATGCCATTAATCCTGTCATATGACTGTTGATGCAGGTCCGGACCCATTAGATCTTAGTGATGGATCAGATAAGATGTTGCACATGTCATCCGACCCATTTGTTCTGTCATGAAATGAAACTTATATTAAAGTTGGTGGGAGGAATACTTGTTTATTTGCTTGGCAGGCAGGGATACCGTGGGGCATCAACGCTGAGTGTGAGCTGATACATCCCGGCCGTTGGATCAGATAAGATCCTGCTACTTTGTTGGCTACGTTATTTCTCTTTAGTGCTCAAGTACCCCAAGTCTTTCAAAATATTGGCAATGTTTGTGGAGAAGGACAGGCCCGTTCGCCAGGAGTAAAGACATCCACATGCCTTGTTGGATGCGTTCCACATTTTACCAAAAGCTCCTGCTTAGACGGTTGCCCCGGATCAGATAAGATGGACAGAGAAGCGAGCCGATCGGTATAGCTTGTTGTTCTGGACAAGTTGGAGAGTTGGCAAGAAAAGTGAACTAAGATGAACATCAAACTCTGCACGATCACAAATATGGACTACACGGATATGAGAGAAGTGAAGTAGAATAAGAGAGATGAGGTCAATATCAAACCCGAAAGAGGAAAATTTATGGTGGTTTCCCAAAGGCGTTGTTTTGATTTATTCGCTACGGCTGAAGGATAATAGAGTCAGACTCACGTTCGTATAAGAGCAAATATCAGTAAACCATGTCTATAACGATAACTTTTGTGAGAATTTTTTGATCATTATTGCAGCGATTATCGTAAATGCAAGGTTTAAATTGCATAGAAAAAAGACTAGTAGGTCTTGCCTGGTTTGTAGCAACATACGTGCCTCTGAAAGGCGTATTTTCGGTGCAAATAACGATATTGGCATCCGCGTGGGAGGATCTTCCACAGTATCGTAAGAAACCTGACTCCTCGTTGGCAACCAAGTGGGCTAATTGGCTCGTCAACTTAGTCGATGACGGGTATGAATTCGGAAAAAAAACCTTGACAAGTGTGAACTATCACAAAACCCGAATATTCATATACCCCTGACCCGCTATAGCCATGGTTTTCGGTACGAGCTAGAATATGAGACTGCCAATACTTTGACGGCGGCCCCTCTTATGAACTTTGGGTAATCTTAATTCATTACTCGCGAGCAACAAGGGCACGCTTTTGGTGTAAACATCGGAGCTCTGACGAAAACGGCAACTAACTCAGCTATACGTCTGTCACGCTCCTCACGCGGTCCAGCTTGCTGTCGTAAATGTGTATATATATCCAGCGTTGTTGCCGCCTAGATGCTCGATAACTCGCACCACACATCCAAGTCTTCTCAGCAACCTGTCAGGCCTCCTTTACTCGACCCCTTTTGAAACGTAAAGAATATATTTCAGCATTAAAGATGCGTTCTATTTCTGCCGTCGCTCTTCTCTCGGCCATCGGCGCCGTTGTCAATGCCGCGCCTGCCACGCCTGCCATGGAGAGGCGAGAGGCGGGAACCCTGGAAACCTTTACCATTTCCCAGAGGCCTCCGTTCCAGGACGAAAGCCTCCTCCCTCCTCTCAACGGTGCCAGCACGATCGACATGAGCATGGAGGGGTACGAGAACGGATATAATCCTGACAGTGATCAATACAAGTGCCACGGATCTTGCGGTAAGTTGCGAGCATAACGAGATGCCGTGAAACAGCAGCTTCTTCTCAGCCACTAACGGCTGCCCAACAGGCATCGTGTTGCGAATTGGCAGATCTCCTGAGAGGTGCACTCACCCATACGCTCAGCCCTTCGTCAACTTCTGCTTTGGTACTTGCGCCACCCTTCAGAAGTTCAAGCCTTACCCCCCTGCCAAAAGCTTCAAGAAAACTTGCAATCTCAACGTCCAAGAAGCCCCCTCCACCACTGTTGAGCAAGTCACCAGCGCCAGCGCCGAGGCCCAAGCCGTAAGTATCTCATCGCCCTCTATTCAAAGTGCGATGCCAATGGTCGACTGATCGTCATAGGTAGAGTACTAGTAGCTCTCAACCAGCTTCAACCACTGGTTCCTCGGTCTCGCGCCCTGCCGGTTCCGCTGTCCCAAGTGGAAGCTCTAGACAAGCTGCCTCTTCAGCTGCCTCTTCAGCTCCCTCTTCAGCTCCCTCTTCAGCTCCCGCTTCAGCTTCCTCTTCGGCTTCACCATCAAGAACCTCAGCACTTCCCACTGGAACCACGAGCCCACGACCGTCGCACCCATCGGGCGTTGCCTCCGCCTCCGGCACTGCTCGCAAAGGTATGTACAATTCTCCATCCTTGCAAACAAGGAGTCTCCAGAGTGTTTTCTGTTCCGGGTTTTGACGATTCTCTATCAAGCTTGTCGTCGCTCTCTAACTCGCCGTCTATAGCCACGCCAACAAACGCTGGACCTGTGACTGCGGGCGCTGCTAGCACTTCCTTTAGCGTTATTGCCGCTATCACTGTCGCTACCCTCGCTATGATTATCGCCTGAGAAAACTATTACGATCGACTGTTTGGTAATTCCGAAAGAGATGTCACCTGTCTGACAAGTTCTAGAGAAGGTCAGAGTGATTGTATTCGGCCATCCGCAATGGATCACATGTAACCAGTAGATTGGAACGTTTTATTTTTTTTCAGTGAGAATTGGTGTTTTACCACCTACTTTACAATTTCTATTACATTTAGTGCTACTTCAAAAAATATTTTTTTCATGACGTCTTATATTCTTGTTCATGGCTGTGAATTGCCATCTTGTCCTGCGGAATTATCAACAAAGGACCGAGATAGTATTGCAAGAGCTTTAGTAAAAACTCTACAATAACTTGGTACTCGAGCTATGGAAGATGTTGAGATCCTTTTCTCTAGAGTCCGTTAGCAGACTCTGTTATCAGACTTGGCTGAACCGGAAGGCGTGGAGTGCTCCGCGCCAAGTCACCGAGTATTCACCTACAAAGCAACATGGAAGGTACTTGTACGGCTAAAAAGTTCCAATGTAATATACAGAGTAGAGAAAGTGCCAAATCAGTATACTCTCGCTGCCCAGGACCTGGATATGATGGTGGAACAGGCTCAGCAGTCTCTGCTGACATCGCAACAAGAGTTACCAACACCATTCACTATCTACACACCGTGCAGATGCACCCTAGACTGCTCCTCCCCCGGTTCGAGTGCCAAGTCTCCGACGGGGAAATTTTGGCGCCTGTATCCTTGCACCACGCCATCTGCAAGGTTGTGGCCCACCAATATGTGCGCCTGTTATTGGCAACGTGTCAAGTGAGCGCAGGGATGTGTACCTAGTATAGAACTTAAACGTTGTGCTATAGCTTGGAAGAAAATCCGTGGTTGCTGCCAGAATCAGAAAGTTCTTTGAAAATAGCGATACAGTGTAACGCGGCTAGCGAAGATGTATTATATACAAGCAAAGTGAAGAGAGGTGGCTCACACGTTTCAGCAAACACGGTGCTACTGAAGAGCAAAAGTATATTTGGCAAGTGATCAACCATCTAAACGGTTCTGTAAAGATGAAAAAATAGGAGTTTCGTAGTGTATGACGCGGTAAATCAAAAGTTCTCTTGTTTAGATACGGCCCGGCACATTATGCTACTCTCACTTGGCCTTACCCGATGCCGTGCTCGTATGAGCGTTCGGATAGGTTGAATAAAATAAAATGTTAATTTTAAAAATAAGGCATAAACCTGCTTTCGCCTGTACTATGCCAAGTCTTGCCAGGAAAAGTCTGCTCTTTTGTCGGCCTCTAGGGTACCTGAGAGTGTTTTCATCAAATGTAGCACTGATGGCGCTTCCTGCATTACTAACAAAACATGAGCGAATTAAGAGGAAGCACATAAACACAATGATCGTTTCCGTACGCTCTTGCTAGAAATATCTGGGTCTAATTCCCAATATTGGCATCCCCGTCAATGTCCCAAACGGAGCGAGAACATTCTACCATTATCGTCTGGCTGGTACGACCCATGGTCAGCGAGCGCAAATGCCAAGTTGACAGTAAAAAATACATGACTGAAGTACATTGACTCGTTTGCCCGAGTTTCGGCCGACATACCGAACCATTGGCGCAACTTGTCGCCAAATAAGGGGCGTTGCCTAATGTGGAAAGTGGCTAACTCGTTGGCCCTAGTTGGTGTCAACCCTATTTACTCGCTTGACAAAGTATACGTCAGAGGCCAGGATTTCTTCCTGTCGATTTTCCCCGCATCTGAACGCTTAGAAAACACAAGACTACTCTACTCGCCATGACGTTATTCTCATAGTGACGACAGTATGCCTGCCCTTGATGGACTCTGCCCGTTCCTGTATTAACAGCACCTCGATTTGTGGTTCAGACCTGCAGTGAGTGACTAACTAGGGAGCGTGGTGTGGTGTCGCGTAATTTCGCACATTGGTGCAGCATGTACGAGGGCAGAACCGCCCGCAGCAGGGCATTACATTTGGTATGTCGCGCCGTTAACGTGGCTGGGCTGGCCGTTGGTTAAACATGTGGATGCAGGACATGAAGACATGGGCATTGTTGAAGAGGTTGGTGAGGGCGTGACGTTGCTGAAGAAGGGCGATAGAGTCGTAGTCCCGTTCAACGTCGCCGACGGCCGTTGCCGCAACTGCGAGGAGGGCAAAACTGCTTTTTGCACCGGCGTCAATCCCGGGTTCGCAGGCGGTGCATACGGTTCGTCTTGTCAATGCCAGCAATATGTAACAGTGGACTTGTACCGCTTCTCGTATTCAGGATACGTTGCCATGGGAGTCGACCATACCGTGGTGGACAGGCCCAGTATCTCCGCGTTCCGTACGCAGATTTCAATGCTCTTCAGCTGCCGCCTGGTAAAGAGCATGAATCCGGCTTCATTCTTCTTGCGGGTAAGTTCTGCCCGGCTTGCTTACCAAAATTAGTGCTGAACCCTGCGGTAGATATCTTCCCAACAGGTGTGTGTCTTCCGAGGCGAACCTTGGCCTCTGCGGCCACTTGGTGCTCAATCGCATTTCAACAGGATGGCACGGTGTCGAACTCTCCGGCTTTACTCCTGGAGAAAGCATCGCCGTCTTTGGTGCTGGCCCCGTTGGCCTGATGGCTGGATACTCGGCTGTTTTGCGTGGAGATTCCAGGGTATTTGTCGTTGACCGAGTCCCCGAGCGATTGCAGGTAGCGGAAGCCATTGGCTGCATTCCCGTCGACTTGACCAAAAGTGACGCTGTGGAGCAAATCATCGAGGTGAATAATGGCATGGTAGATCGATCGGTGGACGCTGTGGGTTATCAGGCCATGGACAGCAGGGGCTCTTCCGAACAGCCAAATATCGTTCTTGAAAACATGATTCGGGTTACGAGGCCGTGTGGTGGACTAGGCATTCCTGGACTATATGTTCCGAGGTAAATTCCCCGTTTCACAGCCGTTTAGCGGATATTCATTCGAGTTTGATAGTGATCCTGGCGCCCCTGACACTGCCGCGGCAAAGGGCATGATCAGCCTGAGTTTTGGAAAGCTCTTTGAAAAGGTTAGTTGCACCTTTCTGGACCTCAGTATTAGAACTTCCTACTCTAAACCAGTGACAGGGCCTCAAACTTGCAACCGGCCAGTGTAGTGTCAAAGCCTACAATAGGTATCTTAGGGACCTCATCATAGCAGGGAAAGCGAAGCCGAGCTTTGTCGTGTCACACGAAATCACATTGGATGACGTGGAGGTTACCTACGACAGGTTCGACAAGCGGCTGGAAGGGTACACCAAAGTGCTTATTCACCCAATGGAGGATTCTAGTTTTATACCATTGCCAAGGCCGATCCAACTTGTCCCTACTACAGTATTTATGATCGCAGAAGCCATCGTGTTACAAGTACCGGATACGCAGATCGGTCAACATAGATTGTTAAATATATGGACAGGCTCCCTCCTTTTACCAAGTCCTTCTGCTAACTTCTAAAGTGAACAGTAATACTCCGCTGTGTACACACAAATAGTGTAATCATAATCAGTCCACTTCGATCCTTTGTGAAGTAGACAGTCTACAGTTTACATCAACATGGAACCATTACCACGTATCTCCTAATTCTGATGCAACTCTGCTGCCATATCAAGAGCTGCGGTCTACTCCTCCAACGGAAAAACCCCTCTCCGGAGTCTTGATGAAATGCCTCATTCTGTCTCGTTTATAAGATTTCTACCCGATTGTGATATCCTTTGCAATCGGTTGGAAGCTCTATCGGCCCATCGGAGAAGCCACCCACCCGACTAACGCGGCCCTTTCGTCAAACAGCCATGATACCACTGTTCAACTGTCATGACTTGCTCACAGCAGGTGGTAACAAGTCCAACCATCGAGGGTCAAGTCCGTCGCATCCACTGCATTTCAATCGCGCAATGAGGACCGTCGATGGTTCTGAAGTCCTTCATTGTAACCGTGTCTATTCTTCAATCTTCAGTCATCTTCACCGTCTCACTAGTTCTGCCGGACGTCCCCTTCCACCTCATGTGCCTTCAGTGTCTCCAGTTCCTGTTCATTCCCGCCCCATAGCTACTTGCATACCAGCACCGTCAAAGCCAATTATTGCCGGACATTTGCTACGGTTTTCCCTCCCTAGCTTGAACCCGACAATCTCGAAGGACTCCATATACACGGGCAGGTCAAGGCCAGCTCATGGATATTATAGCTTAAAACTGTGGCATAGTCTGGCCTCGTTGAGGGGAATACAGTTCCCCAATGGGAAATTGGCAAGCCGAGAGTAGTGCACTATACCTGTCCGCTATCAAGACTCCGGTGCTGGAACTGAACGGCCGGGCTTACGAGACTGGCTAATTGCACAGCAATCACGAGTTTCACCAACACAAGACCGAAAGGAATGCTTGTAGGGGCGTCAAACTTTGTCATCATGGGCCCGGTGCTACCACATCTCGATCGTTGACAAAAGGTTTTATTCCCTATAATCATATATGGACGAAGGGAGACCTTTTTGATCTAGTTTTCTATTTTCGAGGTAGCGATGGGCCTGATCAAATCATCTGTCAGAGTTGTCCAACGAGTGGCTAGGTCCCCGAGTTGGTGCAAAGCGGATATTTCAACCCACTCTTCTAGATATTTACTCCCAGACATGAGAGGTGTTATTCCGTGCGGCAGGTATATTCAGCTCATGGTATCCATCGAGGTGTTGGTCAAGACTCGTAGTAAATCTACCCAGCTTGATCGAGTCAAGTTGCAGCAAATAGGCGGACATGATTGACTGTATGAACTACTTCCCAAAGTAGTATGGCAGTGTTAGCAGCAGACAGTGTAGGAAACGCAGTGGCCGGGTTACGGGTTGCTGGTTTCGCACATGTTGCGGGATGCCCATGGCCAGGAATCATTAGTGGTTGTGTCAAAGCGGCGCGGTTCTATATTCCTCTACTCCATCCAATCTGGCGTCGCTTGGGGACATGGGAAAGTGGCGGCAGCCCTGCGGAAGTCCATCATGGCCGTCACGCGGGCAGCTCCCGCTTAGCCCTGGACTGGACATATATGTATTTCGTTCGATGTCGCTTTGGGGCACAACTCTAGCACTAGGGAGACCATCGTGATGTGTGTGACATGGAAGCAACTTCCGGTGGCACCAGCTACACAAGTTGGCAATAGTGGGATTCCATTTATTGGTCTATATTCATCGCCTACAAGCCTCCCTTGGCCTTCAACTCCTCGTGCACTTTCTTCTGCTTTTCCCACATCTTCTTCAAAGACTTCAGCTGACTCTTCGGCACATCACTACCATCCTTCATTTTTGTTGGCATGCCGCTCTCATCCCAAGCACTGTACCGCTCATCCTTTTTAAACATTTCCTCGGGAGGAATCTTGGCCTTTTCTTTGGCCTCTTGCTCCGCCTTTTCTCGCGCAATCCTGGCCTCTTCCTTCTTCTGGGCCTTTTCGGCCTCACGTGCGGCCTTCTCTTCCCTCGCGCGGATGAGTTCTGCAGCAGGGATGAATTTGATGAGTGACGGCTGGTTATCGAGACGATCGGCGAGGTAGACGCCGAGATTCGTCAGGTCTACGTCACGGATGCGGTCGGAAATGGCGAGAATGGTCTTTTTCTTCTCCGCGGTTTGAGACGCCACAATGCGGCGAAGTTCATCACGAATTTGGGAGACGACCTGGATGTAAGGGAGAGATAGTTCTTCAACGTCACGAGTGCCGCTGGAGACAATAGACTCAAACTCCTTGAAAGGGTCCTGGGACAAGAGATTGGAAAGCGTGTCGCTGGAGAGGGAGAGCTTGGACACCTCGGCCTTTACAGTGTGGAGGACTTCGGCATAAGGCTGGATAGCCTTCTTGGGGTCAATATCGGCGGCAACAGAAGATGCCCAGCCAAGACCGTCGTAGGGAGGGGTGGCGTTGGAGTCTAGTCCAAAGACGCCTACCATTTTGGTGATCCAGCGCGCAATGGCCTCGACGTGGGCGAGATCTACGTCCTTGTTATTCATGACGAAGGTATTGACAGTGTTGACCAACTTGAGAAGAACGAGCATAGCTCGAGGGGTATCAAAAGAGTTGGTTAGCGCGGCCTCGACCTCCTTCTTGGCCAGTTCTAGGTCGGCAAGGAGACCAGTAGCTGGAGTGTCTTGATTAATGGAGAGGCTCTTAACGCCACCACCGACACCAGCCTCCCTGATCCAGGATTTGGCGTTTGTGAAGAAATTCTACCAACACGTTAATACGAGGTTTCTGCGCAAGGGTAAATGGAACGTACACTAATAGTGGTCTCCCAGTTATCGGCTTTAGACCGCATGTCGGGAGAAATTTCGACACCGTCGTTCCACCTGCCCATAAGGAAGACAATTCGCATGCTCCTGGCGGTGTATGTGGTGGCGAGTGCGTCCGAAATGGTCTGGAAGTTCTTGAGGGACTTGGACATTTTTGATCCCGAAATTGACAAGTGACCCATGTGAAGGAAATAGTTGACCCAGGTGTGCTCGCCCTTGCCGTGCTGGCAAAAGTAGGCCTCGCTCTGCGCCAACTCGTTGTCATGGTGAGGGAAAGCCAAGTCCACGCCGCCAGAGTGAACGTCCATGCGAGATCCGAGAACATCAGAAGCCATGACGGAGCATTCAATGTGCCAGCCTGGTCTGCCATCACCCCATTTGCTAGGCCAGTAGGGCTCACCAGCTTTGGACTTCTTCCACAGGGCAAAGTCGCCGGCGCCACGCTTTCCGCCGAGGTTCGTTGATAAGGAACCCTCACCCTCCTCCTGCAGGGCCTTGTCGTTTTTGCTATCCGGTCTCAGACGAGCATAGGTGTTGCCGGCTTTCTGGAAGGCTGCAATGTCAAAATAAACCGAGCCTTCGGCTTCGTACGCAAAACCCTTGTCAACAATTTGCTCCACAAACTTGGCTATCTGAGGCATGTACTCGGTGACACGGGTAATGACGTCGGGTCGCAGAACATTGAGATTATCCATGTCCTCCAGAAAGACGGCCTCCATCCTCTTTGTCAGATCGGTGAATATAGATTGATCGCTGGTATCAATTGTCTCCTTGTGCAGTGAGTCAAGGTAAGGTAGGAGGACTTCGTCTGCGCCGGGGAAGATGGCATTCTGCTTCAGAGCTTCGGCAGCTGCATCCATGTTTCCGACATGCATCTTGATCTTTGCCTCGTCATCGCCGGGCTTGCCCTCACCAGTGAGGGTGCCTCCGGAAAGCACTGGGCCGTAGGCTGCATCCCGCTGAGTGGTGTAGTTGGTCTCGTCCAGTTGGGATGTATCTTTGGTAAGAAGAGGCAGGTTTTTTGACGCATAGGCTCGGAAGGCGGCAAGACCGAGATTCCTGAGTTCATCTTCGGAGTACTGCTTTTTCTTTTCGAGATCTAGAAGTCGCTGTCTCCTAGCCTTGATAATGATCTACAGAGGTCAGCATGCAGCCATGATACATGTGTAGCGGGGTTCGCACCTTGTCGTCAACGTCAGTCATGTTCATTACATACTTGACATTGAAGCCAAAATAATGCATCATGATACGTCGAATAATATCGCTGGCCACGTAATTTCGGGCATGACCAAGATGGCTCTTGTCGTAGACGGTAGGACCGCACGCATACCAGGAGACCTTGCCAGGCTCCATAGGCACGAAGGGCACGGGAGGGCCTGGCTTGAGTGAGTTGTGGACTTTTAACGAATCCATGATGGCGGTGTTATATCTTCGAATAGATAAAAGGGAGAAGCGCTTGGGAGTAGCGGCGACTAGAACGAATCTCGGACGGTGCGCGACGGGCAAACGATGCATTCAGTCTGGCGGGTCCGGTGAGGATTAAGTAGCGAGAGTCACTGGACACGGCAGGATCATGGCCAATGCTGGTCGCTACTCGATGAGTCGTCGCCGGCCGCTGCTGGTGAGGGAGTGCACGCAATCGGAGTGGGAGTCGCAGTCGTGGCGGCGGTGGTGGTGGTGGTGGTTGGGGTCGAGGTTGAGTCACGGAAAGGAAATGCCACTTTGGCAGATTTGCCATGCAGCTCAGACAAAGCTGTCCTGCCCCTCCTTTATATGCCGTCTCATGAGGACTAGCTGCCAGGTGCTCAATGCTTCCATGCTCTGGACTTTAATTTTCATGCTACAACCCGTCTACTAATAAAAGGCCCAGTTAGAATGAAAAAGAAATACATGTATTATGATGAAGGTATTGACTGATTAGTCTGCCCAACTGACTGCCGCTCAACACCGAACATTGAATAAAACCTGAGCCTGGGCCTGGTCTTCTCGCAAAGCCTGGCCTGGTGGGGCCACCCAACATTGAATGCTCCACATGTGCAGTCCCTGCCGCTTCATGCAAAGTCTAAAATATTTTGCCCATCCAACCTTGCAATTGACTGGCAGCTTTAATTCCTCCAACTTGTCAATACTGGCATTGACGAGCCTACAGCTGGCCCAACTCCGTCATGGACAAATCTGCCGATGCTCGGCCGTCGCCTTTTCTCGAGCCCACGTCTAGAACAGCACCAAATACCCTCGCAATCATCAGTCTCTCGAAAGAACACTACCAGCCCATCACTCTGCAGGAATCCATTGGCGCCGTGGACGGATATGCAGAAGGCGTCACCCTCAACACAAGATTTGGCTCATTTCCGCATTCCACACTACTGGACATTCCTTGGGGCTCACAGGTCCGGGCCTCCGTAGTTGACACAGGATCCCGTGGCCGCAAGCGCCGGCGAGACCAAGTCGAAGACGAAGAAACACCCACCTCCAACCAGGATGACGGCAACGACACGACGACTTCGGCGCCCGCGAAAAAGGCTATTGCAGCATCCAGTGGCTTCATCTACGTCCTCAGGCCGACGCCAGAGTTGTGGACGAGCAGTTTACCCCACAGAACACAAGTTGTTTACACTCCCGATTACAGCTACGTCTTGCAGAGAATCAGGGCTCGACCGGGTACCAGAATTATCGAGGCGGGAGCTGGTAGCGGAAGTTTTACACATGCCTCAGCGCGCGCAGTTTACAGTGGTTACCCAGGGTCGGACTCAGATGCCAGGGGCAAGGTATTTAGCTTTGAGTTCCACAAGCCTCGGTTTGAAAAGATGGATGCCGAAATCAAGCAGCATTCGCTCCAAGGAATTGTCCAAGTGACACATAGAGATGTATACGATGAAGGTTTTTTGATAAATGGCAAGTCACCCAAGGCTAGTGCCGTCTTTCTGGACTTGCCAGCTCCGTGGGAAGCTCTGCATCACCTCGCGCGGCGCAAGACGCTCAGGGGGGGCAAGCTGGATGAGAATCCTTGCGATTGGGAGTCACCACTTGATCCAAACAAAAGTGCATATGTTTGCACCTTCTCTCCGTGTATTGAGCAAGTGACGCGCACTGTCACGGAGCTACGAACGCTGGGCTGGACTGACATCGACATGGTTGAAATTGCGCACCGCAGGTTCAACGTCATTCGAGATCGTGCTGGGGTTAATATCCCCAGTGAGAAAGGCTTCAGTGCTCAGCCTGCTGATGTTGCAGAAGCTGTGAAAAAGCTCAAGAGCGATCTAAAGCGGACCCAAGTCTTCCACAAAGCCCAAACATCGCAGCTAGTTTCTGATACTTCAGAGTCCAAAATGGACGTCGATGAATCAACCTCCGAATCCAACATCGGAGACTCAAATAAAAACGAAGATCCGCCATGGCTTCAAGGCAGGCTTGTTCACCGCACAGAAAACGATCTCAAGACTCACACCTCGTATCTGGTATTTGCTATTCTACCCCGTGAGTGGGATGAAGCTGCGGAAGAGGCAGCCCTTGCAAAATGGCCCTGCGGAGGCGAAAGCAAAACGATTGGAAACTTGGACAAGCAGGCCCGAAAACAAGAGAAGAGGGAAATGATGGCTGGAAAGAAGCAAAAAAAGACGAGAACAAATGATACCCAGACAGCTTGATAATATTTCCAATGCAGGCAAAAAAAAAGCTTAGGTCAGTGACACGCCTATGTCGACTTGAACTTGGCAACTTTGGCTTTGATGCTTGCCTTTTGCCGAAGCTCTCTAAGCCACAGAACGAAGTAGATGCTAAATAGAGATATGGCGAATTCATGCGGCCACAATGGCTGTTCCCAATCGACTCTCTTCTTCCACAAAAGCCAAGCCTCTCCTCCCAATCCCAGCAGCAACTGAATCGTCCCAGTGACGGGCAACACGGACCGAAGAGCTCCAGCTCCACCAAAATACGCGTACATAAGTACGTGGTGGAACGCGTTTGGGGCAGCGACAACTTTCCATCCTTGGCTGTAGTAAAGCACACGCACGTAGGTCAAATACGGCGTGGTGAGGTGGTGCACTGCAAAGTGCAGCTCGATCTCGCCGCCTCCAGCTCGAACACCAAGCACATCGACGTACTCATAAAACTTGGACAAGTGATAAATCCTTGTTGCTACATGTTCGTGTTGCGGCACGAACATGAGGCCAAGCAGGACTGCCGAGGCCAGGGAATAGAACCAGCTGTTGAGCATGACTGCCTTTCGAGCCGAAGCAATGGGTCCGTGACTTGCCACATGACGATGAAGCAGCGTCCAAACCGACACAAAGGCTGCAGTCTGCAGAAACATGTAAAATAAAGTCATGTTTTCAATTTTAAACTGATATTTTTTTTCGTTTTCAGTGTGACGATCCCGCCTCGTATAAGGGCATCCGTACTCTGAGTCACAACTGCGCCTCTCAGCTTCGGTAAGCAGCCATCGCGAATGAGACAACATGATTCGAAAACAATTCTGTCACGTGTTGCAAACCTACTGATTGGCGTGACTATTCTACCAGTTATTCCTCCTGCAAGCGAACCACAATCTTGCCCTTGGTCCTGCCCTCACCAAAGTCATCCAGGGCTTTGATCAGGCTCTCAAATCCAGTTCCACTATAGACTTCGTGCTCCAACGGAGTAAGCGCACCACTGGCAACGTGTGCCTGGAGCGAAGGTATCATCCTCTTTGTCTCTTCGCTAACATGTCTACCCAGCTCATCATCTTGACCTAGTTTGGCGATTAGAACGTAGTACGAAGTAACACCAGCCGGCATGTCGTGGTGGTTTCTATGCGCGTTAGAGTTGCTCGCAAGGTCCAAGGAAAACAGGCGGCGCTTACGCTTCAGCCGTGGTATAGTACTTTGGGCTAGCGGTAGTTGCTTCCAGCATCTTGGCCGCGGCTTCGTGAGAGAGGGCGCTGGCGTCAAAGACGATGGAGTATTTTCCTCCAGTGATGGACTTGACCTCGGCGGCTTGCTCCTCAGGGGTTGCACGATTGTTGAAGGCGGCTTGGGCGCCGAGACTCATGACAATCTAGATAGCTGGCATTCACAGACTTGGGCTTGTTTTCTGCGACGGCTATACTTACCGATTTGTTGGGAGCGGAGCATGATGCAGCGACCTTGTATCCGCACAAGCGTGCAATCTACACAAGTTAGAGGCGTTCAGGACACCAGCCCGGGAATCGGCTCACCTGGATCGCATAATGCCCAACAGTGCCACTTCCCCCCAGAACAATAAGCCACTCATCTCTCTCCGGAACCTTTGTCCCCGGTGCCGGCAGGGGGACCTTGGCTCCAACAATGATGCCAAACGCAGATGTCTAGATCTTGATCAGCTCCTGGTATCCGTCCACAAGTCACAGACAAGACTTACGAGTGCTCCAACAGCGATGGTAGAAGCCTGGGCCGGCGTCAGAGCCCCTTCCACCTTGAGGACCAAGTCCTCATCGACCAAGAACGTCTCCTGAAACGGGGAATAGGCCCTCTGCCCAAGCCGGCATACGCCATATACGTAATCGCCCTTCTTGAGCTTCGTGCACTCCGGGCCGGTCTCAATGACTTGGGCGCAAAAGTCGGAGCCGAGGACAGCAGGCCAATCAAGGATTAGGATGCCATATTTTTGCATTATGGTTTCACTTTTTCCCCCTCCAGGCATCAGAAACAATGTTATGTGATGGAATATAACGTGGCGGGACCAGATTCAAAGGATCATCACTTACACTGGGTTAAGTGAAACATATACCGACTTCACCAGAGCCTGTTTGGCGCCTGGGCTGGAACGGGACAAGTCTTTGACCACCGTGAATGGTGCTCCGGCTTTTGAAATGGTAACTCCTGACTGAGACATGACGGACGTTGAGGGCGCGAGTAAATAACAGTGGTATATTGAAGCTAGGATAGCTGCGCTGAACAAAAGCGAGGGTGGATTTGATAGACGTGATATCAAAAGACTGACATCATCGCAATTTATACCCGCCTCGCTGTACCAATTCCCCAGAGCAAGGCCACCATAAAACGTAATCACGGGAAAGTCGGCAGCGAAAAATTGCTCTGAATAGTGGCGTCTTCCCTCGCAAAAAGGATGGCCGCCATCAACCAGCCAGTCCTAATGGCCTCTGTACCGCCAATGGCGAGGGGGGAAGGCCGAAAAGGGTCTATATGCAACCCTCTACCCCTCTGCTCCATCACAACTCAAAATCTATTGACTTCGAAGCTGTGTCATTGGCAAGAACAGTGAAGTGTGTGACGGTTCGCTCAGTCTGGGCCAGGCACCACCATAACGGGGGTGGCCAAAATGGCAGCTCCAAGACCTGTCATAGGCCGCAACCCCTCATCTGGAAACTTTCACCGCTGCCCGAAAAAGTCGCAGGGCTGAGAGCTAGAGGTTTCGTGAATTGGTCGTCATGTTGGCCTTTGACTCTTGGTACGTCATGCAGCCGCCCGGGTGGCGAAGCTACACCCATGTTGTTTGTTATCGACGAATGCCACGAGAAGAGAGGCTGCAGGTAGCTGGCACCACAGTAGAAGTGGCTCCTCACCCACTGCGGACCGGATGAATAATTGACCCGCCACTTCACTCCAAGCCCACCACGGGAAATCTTGAGATAGCTTCAGGACCCCAGATCTATTCGAAGCAGGCACGCCAAAATGACGTCCACAATCGGCATCCCCATCAAACTCCTCAACGAGGCACAGGTCCGTTTGGCGCAATTGCTCTTCATTTCCCTCTGCGTGTTAGCTAACGCGCGTGTGTAGGGCCACATTGTGACTCTCGAAATCACCAGCGGTCAGACCTACCGTGGGAAACTGCTCGATGGTACGCTGCCCCTCGGTTCCCTGGCCGCGCGATATTCGCACATGCTGTATTCTGGTACTAACTTTTCGGCTAGCCGAGGACAACATGAACGTTCAGCTAAAAGACATCACGGTAACCGCTCGCGATGGCCGCGTCTCCCACCTCGAGCAGGTGTATATCCGGGGCTCTCACGTGCGCTTCTTTATTGTCCCGGACATGTTGCGCAATGCGCCCATGTTTAGGAGCAGAAACCTGAGAGGACGGGGTGTTGGTCTGGCGAGAGGAAGGGCGACTGTTAGTCGGGCTAGAGCCGGTGGACGCCGATAGACACACGCACCATGATGGCTGGTTTGCCTGGACAGCCTTGATGAGAGGCGGGCGGCGTGGACAAGATGCTTGATACAAAAATGCTAGGGGATTGGCGTTTAGGATTGATTCGAGAAAAGAAACCTTTCATCTTCATGTGCGGAGCCCAGAGTCAAGTATAGGAGACAGATGCTGTAGATGTGATGATGATACTTTCTACAAAGAATGCGCTACTATACAGATTTATGCTCCGCCGTATCGTACACTATGGCATTCGAGCCAGTGCGTCTTCAGCCTTGGCAATTAGCTCTCTTGTGTTTTGCAACTCTTTCATTTCCTCCACCCCGTTTGTACCATTGCTTCCGTGGCTCTCCAGGACCGTGGCTACGCTCTCTTCTGCTCCGCGTACGGCCTTGCGCCCTTCCTCGCGGACTTCACCTTCCCAGAAGGACCTTGCGGCATCCCATCTCTTCTGCAGTCTTCCTAGGCTGTAGACGATTCCAAGGGCAGCCACGGCACCAGCTTCGTACATGGTGGATGCAAACGACGAAATGTACAAGAGGGCGGCCAGAGATGTGGTTATGCCAGACGTGCCCAGGGATTGGATGACGAGTCTCTGGGCAAGTGACTGCAGCGCGGGGACGGTTTCGTTTTGTAGGTAGCGGCGAGTGAAGGCAATGTGGCCAGGCCACTTTGGCAGGGAGTAGGATGACGTCGCAGCCAAGGGGGGCGCATGTTCGCCGGAGCCGAGCTTTCGAGACTCCGTGGCATCCAGGGACGACTTGGGTTGAGGATACTCTGGCAAGGCGCCGCGCAGCTGAGCGATTCTGCCGGTCAGATAAACCAGCTCCTGTTCTGCCGTGGGCATGAATCGCTGACCGAGCATTTCGTTGGTCAGCATGGCGACATCATCCACTCGCCAGAACAACTTCCACCACCCCAACTTGCGCCACCGCCGACCTTTAAAGGCAAGATCTAGTTCATCCTGTAACTCGGCGTGAGCGTTCTGTGCCCAGTCTGCCAGACGCTTGTTCAAAGCTGCCACGGCCGGATCATCACTGTGCAGCGTCAGCGCCTTGGATAGCTTTCGGGCCTCAATAAGCTCGATTTGGGAGGAAGTGTTTTGCAACGTCGACGCAATCAGCCTTCGCACGGCCGGCTTGGTCTCATCAGCAGCAGCAGGTTTGGCCCCATCCTTGAGCCATTTCAGCAGGGTAGGCACATTGCTCGAAAACCACAAGCGTTCATAGTCCATGGCATTTTGGGGCCCTTGGCGAAACAAGCTGAGGCCTTTCTCGGCCAGCGATACGTCCACGACGTCAAATGTAGCCTGCAGCTGTTCCTTTGTAACTCCCTCAATTTGAACAACGGCCGCGATAGATTCGTCTGTTTCGGAGACGGGAAGAGCGGAAACATTGACAGCACCCATCAACCCATCAGCGACAAGCAGTGCCTGGTGAACCGGTGTCGAAATGGGCGATACTCTACCATTTGCGGACGGAATATCAACAGTTGGTACAAGGACTGCATCCTCCAGCGCTTGAATAGAGACCTCACCCGGCGCGCCATACGGCACATCGACCCCCATCAGAAGGAATTCGAGATTATACCCATCCAACTCGGGGCACGAAATATGCATCTCGTCCAGACCAACCTCCTTCTCGATCTCGAGAGACACGGCATGATTCCGAGGCGGGCCAACCCGCACAATCAGCGGTTTACTCTCATCCCGGTTCTCCAGCTCCTTCTCCCAGGGCTGTACCTCCTGCAACGGATCGGCGAGCAATGCGCGTAAAACTCTTGTAGCCGTGGCACCGCCATTGGCGAGACCTAAAATAGCGACGCGGATAATCTCATTGCCGGCATCTTGCCGCAGGCCCTGGAGTGCCAATTGCAGCCTGGATATGTTGATTAAATTTGGATATTGCTTCTGAAGCTCGAGCAGCGTGTTTTGGAGCTCAATTCGCGGGTTCGTCGACGTCGACAGGAGTCGCGGCCATCCAGCATGGGACCTGTCCCGCAGCCGAGGGCTAGGGCGAGGGCGAGCTGTCAGTGAGGAATGGGCACAAATCGGACATGGGGATGCAGGGACGTGCCGTCCTTGTCGGAGGAGACGGCACGCGCTGCGCGGCAGCAAATTTGATCTGGACTTCATCGGCAGATGGGCGTTGTTGGCAGGTTGAGACTTTGGATCGGACGGGAGCTGTTGATGGAGCTCGTTTGTGGAGCTTCTCGGAACTCTGCGGGCGGCACTCGCTGGTCGTCGAATGCGACCCGCAACTTTTGACTGTCAAAACTTTGTTTGGATGGTGGTGCTGCAATTACGACCATTTCCATGAAGAACAATTTTCTTCCATTCTCCCCGATCCTTGTCTTTTCCCAACCAATCCCAGACACTTGTGCTTCATGAGGCTGAACAAAACGATCAAAGCAAGTGCTGCGTCTGCTGACAGCTTGACCATGAAGACGGAGTTGCACTATGAAATTTTATACAGAGACCTAATGACATACAGTATTAATGCTCCACCGCCCGCACCTGGATATCGTCGATTCACTCTAGCATCCTCGCTCATACACTGCGAACCCACGCGGCGTTTCCGTTACCGGTGCGTTGCTCGTCTCTCCAAGTCGTCTCGTCTCCTCTGCGATTTCATGCCAATGGTGATGAAAATAACTCCGTTCCAGAAGCCACGTAGTGATCCCGTTGCGCCAACACTGAGCAGCAGCGGATAGGATAAAAAGTCGGGGTTGACGAATGCACCAACGCGATTAGTCGAAGGAGCCACCCAGACTGACAACAGCGCAAGGAAGAAGAACATTGGCATGAGGATGTATTGTCTAAATGATATAGACAAGTGGCGGGTAGGCGTGGCGACAGTGTGGAAGGTTCTGATACTCGGTTTGGGGGTAAGAATGGGCGATTCTTCTCCAGAATATGACACGGGGGCGTGCCCATGCCGCGACTGGGCATTTTCTTCAGTCACCCTACTCTCCGGCTTATTACAAGGGGTGTCTGCGGTGGACGCAATGCTGTCTTCCAACGGAACAGGATCGCTGTTGAACGACTGCAAGGCGCCCCTCCGCTTGACAATCTCGATGCCGACCAAAACATAAATGACCATGGAAATGAGAATCATGGACCTTGAAAAGGGGGAGCCGCAATTAGCCTGGGATAGAAGAGAATCGCCAAGCTGGAAAGGACGCACCATATTGGGATGTAATAGCACAGGATGCGTAAGAGCACCCATTTTGGCGAAATCGAGCACCACATCTGTCAAAACACGATGCATCAGTCCATCATTATATCGGCATCAACATGGGCAGAGCGGCTGACAACTACGCTGCCATAAACAGGACCCTTCTCCTCAGTCTCTACGAAGAGGAAGACGAAGGCAGGAATGAATGTAACTGAGGTAATGACAGCCATGTACTGCCACTCTAGCCTCTTTAACGACTCGCTATCGTACCGACGAAACACAATCAGAGAGACGTCAATGGCCATGACAAGTGTCCAAAGCACATCAGCCAGTGGAAACCTATAAAAGGACTCGTTAATGCCGGCGACATTGGGTCGAGAAGACAGCTTTCTGGAGGGCGGTTGCCAACTCGGCACGCACATTTGGTTGATGAAGGCCTGGAATTTGCACAACGCTGAAGCGTTCCCAGCAGCGGGGCCGCTCACTGAAATCATTGTGCAGGCGACGTCAAAGGCGTTGTAAAAGGCGTTGATGAAGATGAGGCGATGCATGGGGTTCCGAAAATGCGGCGCGAGACAAAACACCGTGATGATCGTCACGACGCCCAGAGCCGAGAGCGCAGATGCAGTCCGCCCGACAATTTGGAGGGTTTTTGCCTGGTCGTCCGTGATGGCGACGTCTCTCCGGACGTGCAACATGGCTTCTTGTCACTTGGCCGCTCTTGGTTTCCCTCGTTGTTATAATCGTGGCCGGGACATGGCAAGCTTGGGCATGGGCGACCGTGCTGTCATTTACAGATGACGAGCGGATGCGTTGGAATTGCCGAAGCAGGTTGCCGTGTAGCTGATGGACAGCGCGTCATGCCATGGTGATGGCATAATTTGGTGGTGCATTGCGTGCTCTCAGCTGCGTCTGTAGGGGGCTTGTGATGTGACAGGACCACATGCATGCTTGCCCCATGAGCCATTTCCATCGCACTCAGGTGAGTCAGGTCCTACATATTAGACGCGTAACAATGCTGATGGGAAGGGAAGAGGGCTCGGGGCGGCCGGGACCATTGCTTTGAAGAGCCCTGTTACTCGCAGCGGCACGGCGAAAGGTTGTGAGCTATTCTTCGCAGGCAGGACGCGTTGTGCATACCAGATAAGATCAACTTGGTGTCCCACTAAAACTCTGATAGTTATCCCATCGCCATGTAGGTGATTTTCTACTCCTTGAGCCGTTGTTTTACTCGCGAATTTCCAAGACTTGTTAGTACACCACAACCTCCCCCGAGTGTCCTTGTCCCTTGCGGGCAAAATGCATCTCAGCGTAGCCCAGCTCGATCCAGCTCGAAACGATGGTTTGACAAAGCGCCGCGTTACAAACGTTGTGCAATGTGAGCAGCCATTCATGTGTTTGGTGTTGGCGTTTGGCTCTTTGTGCTGCTTTGTGGTGTGCAGGGCCCCCAGCCCTGTGTCAAGGAGGCCTGATGTCGTCAGGCATTGCAGGCAACAAAGTATTCATACATGATGAATGCTTCATGGAGATCGCACTGCGTTGAAGCGGTTGCATGTGTAAGAAGACAGTGGTCCGACGTTCCATATATTGCCCACCTTGTGACACACAAACTCTACATTACATGCCCATACCAGGTCATCCAGGCGGCATCCAAAAATGAGGAGGACAAAATCCTGCTCCAAGTTGGAAGAACGCAAAACGCACCGAGACAGCCGTGTCCGTCGCTTCATGAACCAAGTGACGGGCAACGAGGAAAGGGCGAACATGGACGGACAATCGTACGTTGAGGTACGAAGCAATCCAGGACGAGCAGAATCGGAGCGCCACTGACAATAATCCAAGACGCCGTAAAAGCCTGAGACGAGTCTCAGAGTAGGCTCTGCACGCCTAATGCAACATGTCTAGCAACAGAAGCTCCTGGCATTGTCTACCTCCCGAGATCCAAAACAGCATCATTCGTCTTCTGCCAGTTCTCGGCAGTAGGCTCGAAAACATGGACCCCGTCACCTTGATAGACAATCCGACGACATGGCCGGCCAGTTTTCTTTCATCGACACAGCCCCAAGACAGCTGGAAGCCGAAATCCCAGCCGCATCATGTTCCTCCAAGGCAGCGCAGTATAAGGAAGACTACATTGGGAGCAGCAAACAGGTGCTTTCCGACCCGCACCGAGCCTGTTTAGCAGCGACAACATGGCCGGCACGGCGGTGCGCGACACATGACTCTTTTACAGAACGACAATGCTTCCGAGCAGGCCAGAGAGGAGCTGTCCGAGGCGGAGAAAGCGCCACTAGCCGGGAAGAGGCTGTGAAGCTTGAACACCAACCGTAGGTTATTTCCTGTCCAGCTCCCTTGTGGACATCAAGCTCTCGGACTAGGGGGTTCATGAGGAGATGTAAAGTACGGCATCGTGCTTGGAAAGCAACGAGGGCAAGCTGTGGAACGAGCTAGCCGACAGTGAGAAGAAACGTGATTCGTCAAAAGCGAACTTGGTTCAGTGTAGACTCCCAAAAACTGGGGTTGCAGAGAAATTACTGGGAGCTAGGGATGAGGTTGTTTGGAAGGTGATCGAGTGCGAGGGAGGACGCGGGCGTTGATAATGTAGCTGTGAAGGCGTCTGACTTGCTGCCCGGGACTACACCGTCACGTACATGACATTCGATAAAACGAAGTCAAGAACCATGATGCCTCTTTAGTCAGTGTACAGCTGTCAATCACGAAGACACATCTAACATGCGGTATAATTCAAGCTGTCACAAGTACATTTCGCAGACCCATACAGTTTCATACGGCCAAGAGCCAAGATTTCTCATTCCCAAAACGAAATTGCCACGACTAGATCCCGCTCCAGAAAGGTCATGATATACCGTCAAGTTATGGAATTGCCTAAATGTAGTGGTCGTCAAGTATCATAGTTGGGAGGCCTGCCGAGTGAGTATGCTGACAATGACATGCGTTGAGGTGCAGTTGGTGGCCCTTACTGGAGTTTGATCATGATCATCCCTGTGGGCCTGACCTCTCGATGAGTGATGCATTGACGTGTAAAAACTCGGGGGAGGCTTCTTAAGTATCCGAGGCCACGGTGTGCGGCTTGCGGGTTGGGTGTGAGAATGAGTATCCCGCGGGCAGAGATGGATGTCACGGTACATCCGTGGGGACATATGGTTAGATTTCAGTATGGAAAAGCAAACAATATCGCTTTTTTTTAAACCTGGCACCTATAGATGCCACGATAACACCCATGGGCACCCGCAGAAGCAATGCTACGCACCCTACTTGGGAGAGGTAGTTGTCTGATGGGAGAAGCTTACAAACTGGGGACGATCCAACAGGCTTAAACGGGTCGCTACATGTTGCAGCAGATAGGAAATCGAAGCTCGCGCGTTCCCAGCTTCTTCATCCTAGTCATGGCGACGAATGCAATGCCCCATGGGGGCGGACCGCCCCCATCACACCGGTTCGAATACCGACTCCCGAGCATCCGCTTGGGTCTCGTTGCATTAAAGGTCGCACCGGAGTCGAATCTGTGTTGGTTGATCGAGGACCAACCAGGTTACAACTTTACATGTGCGGAGGTAGTTGGGCAGGGTTCCTCCATGAAACAGAAAAGTACCAAAGTTTCACCCTCACTTTGCAAGACAACTACCGCATTCTCAGTCATGGACAGCACAGACAAAACCTCGTATTGGATTGATGTAGAAGACTGGCACACAGCTGGCGAACCATTCCGGGTCGTCGACAAACTGCCGGTTGGTCATCTCCCGGCCTCGCCCACGGTTGCTCAGAGACGCTCCGACATCACAGCAACCCCAGACCACCCTCTGGATGAGCTCCGCCGGCTGCTATGCCATGAGCCTCGCGGCCATGCCGGCATGTACGGCGGGTTTATCACGCCGCCAGATGACTCTGGCGCCCACTTTGGGGTACTATTCTGGCACAAGAACGGCTTCTCCACGGCCTGCGGCCACGGTACCATCGCCCTTGGCTATTGGGCCATCCGTCATGGTATTGTCAAGGTCCCCGACGTCGATGGACTAGTCGACGTAGTAGTCGACGTGCCTTCGGGCCGTGTGGTGGCACGTGTGGGAATAGAAAGGGGAAAACCAATATACGCCGACTTTGTCAACGTGACCAGCTTTCAGCTGGCAAAGTCGCTGTCTCTAGCCGTCCCTTCATGCGGCATCGACGTCGTCGTGGACTTGGCCTTTGGCGGCGCTGTCTACGCCAGCTTGGATGCAGCTCAGTTTGGGCTAGATGTCGGCCCCAAGAACGCGGATCGCTTTATTCGGCTCGCTCGGGAAGTCAAGGCGTTGCTCGGCACCAGAGCCCGTTACGGCTCGTATGACCTTTACGGAGTAGTCTTCTTCAGAGAGGAGCAGAATGGTCAGAACGGGACGCAGGTTATCCACCAGAGAAACGTTGCTGTGTTTGCAGATGGACAGATTGACCGCTCTCCCTGTGGCTCCGGGACCTGCGCGAGACTGGCCCTCTTGTTCGCGCAAGGCAGACTGGGCCCTGGTTCCTCGAGACTTGTGCATCGCTCCATCATAGGGTCGACATTTGAGGCGGACATTGTGTCTACGGCACAAAGTCCCTTCGACGGATTCCCGGCTTGTATTCCGCGCGTTAGGGGCCGCGCCAACTTGGTCGGGCAGACCAAGTTTTTTATTGACCCCGACGATGAACTGTTCCCCGGCTTTCTATTATGATAGTCTGCACCGAAATGTATTTTGTAAATATCAGTTACATATTGCCGCATAACTCGTCTTGCCTTGATTCAAGGCATACCAAGCCGAGAGAAACCACTTGGATACAGAGGAAAGCTGTGACAAGGGCTCAAAATAGGGCTTGAAGCAAAAGGGCTCAATTCATTGATAATTTCGTAGGATGTCAAAGGTCCTTGGTTTCCTCAAGCCATGAGGCGAGGGGAGACCATCTTATATACATGAAAGGAACGGCCCGTGCCTAGTGCGCCCCATAGTTCTCGTGATCCTATTGTGTAATAAAGGGCTTCTGATCCTTGCTTGACCTAATCCGTGTGATAAAAGCAACAACCCTGACGCTGTACACGAGGGTTCGTGATGGACGTACTACCCTCAACCTCTGGCATCAAGCAGGCAGGACCCGGACCAGGCTCAGATTGTTCCCGTCTATATATTTTCATTGAGAGTAATGTAGTAAACCATATTCAGGATATCACTATATTTATAGTGCTTTTTTCGGCAAAATGTCCCACCCACAAAAGCTCTCTTTAAAAGTATGCTGACAAGTGCACTTCTTATTCATAGTCCAGAATAAATTATGCAGAACTGTGCCAAGTCTGATTCGGGATTGTCGTATTTCGAGAGACATCACTGGGTCCTTCCTGACGTAGTGCTTGCATGACTATTTAGATAGATCAAAATAATGATAATGATAATGACAAACATAAAACTGAACTAAAAGAATATCTGACTTGATAATTCGTCTGACAGCGTGAACAAAGTGAGGGCATGAGTTATCTACCAAGTTAGCCAAAGGATCCGGATAACCGGGGTTCTCGTTCACGGAACGACTGAAGCAGAAGGTATGACAGTAGTGCAGCCGACGCTGCCATTGTGGACAGACAGATATATAAATCTCATATTATAGAGGCGTATTAATACATGCAAAAATCTCAGCTCTAATTATGTACTTGGTGCTATGATTTGCGCCAGTATTTTCAGGATGCTCACGAGGGGACTGTCGCCTGGTACGTGGAAGGCGTATGTGTCATACGGATTAGGTCAAGCAAGGATTAGAATCCCTTTATTACACAAGGAGATCACGAGAACTATGGGGCACACTAGGCACGGGCCGTTCCTTTCATGTATATAAGATGGTCCTCCCCGAGCCTCTGGCTTGGAGGAATCAAGGACCTTTGACATCCTACAAGATCATCATTGAATTAAGCCCTTGCTTCAAGCCCTCTAATGAGCCCTTGTCACAGTATGGGTCAACGACGGTGAAGGCGATTATTCGCGCCAACAGAGAATATTGTATGGTGTTTGCAAGGAACAACGTGAGGAGATGACGCACGCGGTTGGCGTCGAGATATCCGCTACCTACGGCATTAAATTATCCAGTGTGTCTGTGACACTCAACTACCAGTTTACCCACACCAGTTCAATCCAAGTCGTAAGCTTTGAAATCGTGATAAATACACAGGCCAAGTTTACTAAACGACACCAAACCCCCGCAACTCTAATAGGCATGGTTTTACTCGCGGGAACAAAATCACCTCATACCTCCAGGTCTGTTCGTTCCGGACTGTGATAAGAAAGTCTAATCGGCATGCGAATGATAGAGTATTACACCAAGACTAGGCTATGTGTGGGAAATAGTATGTCCACTTGGGTTGCTGAAAGACACCCTCCGGTAGATACGCCATAGATACAAAACATTCGATAACCAGGTAAACCCTTGAAAACAGATAAAACAAAAGAAACAGTACAACTATTGCGACAATGATTCCAATAAACATTATGTTCCAGAGCCTGCGAAAGTACGAATCGTCGGGCATGTCTTCCCGGGCGACAACAAGCCATCGACACAGCAATCCTAGCAATATAACAATCGCTCCCGACGCAGCTATTGCAACAGCTGAAATGCGCCAGAGTTTCTTTTGCGCAACTGACGAAAATGGCGAGTTCCAAGCAAGCAAATGAAGGGCACCATACGTGAGTCCTGCACAAGTGAAGGCAAACAGGACCACGACGCCATCCGGACGCTCAGAAAACGCGTCGCCGAAAATCAGGCCGAATATGTCTGTGAATCCGCCGGTGCTTGGTCGATTTCGCGCCCTGTCATGAAGTCGACATTTTGGGAACCGTTGCCCCCATTTATTCTCCAGCTCTCTCTCATGTTGAAGCAATTTCGCAAGTTCTGGTCTGTTAGATTCCCAGGTAGAGTATGCCAATTTCCAGCGGCGCAAGTCGTGCGGGAAATACCAGAAAGATTCATTCCCCCTCAAATAAGAATGGCAGTACCCTCGGATGCCAGTACCTGGAATGCATTGCCCATTGTCAAGCCGTTCAGCTCCAGGAAGCTGGCTTCCAGAGCTTGATAGAACACTGCGTATGTTTCCAGATGGCTGAGATCTCTCTCGCGACCTTAGAGGTGTTTCATCAAAATCAAGTCGCTTGCCATCACAAATTTCGTCAAACGTCGACAGGCAGCAAAGGAATGCGCATATGCCGTGCGCGCTCTCGTCGTCGATGAGGGTCGGCTCTTCGACATCCAATGGCTTCCTCCACCATAAACCGTAGATAATCAGGGCGAAGAGTGCATGGGTCAATGTGTTTAGCTCCAATAAACTAATTGGCACATTTTGAGTCAGACGGACAAGGCATTGGATTACGAACCAAGTTGCTTGGAGGCACGCAATGGCCTTGGCAAGGGCATTGGCTTTACTCTTATCTGCGATGGCGGCTTCTGAGATGTCCGGGAGAAGGGACGGAAAATGCTTGGCAACAAGGAGTACTGCCTTTTGGTTGAGCGTCACGCGGTTGCGCGACCCGGGGAGAAACTTTTGGTCCTCGGGGAGGCCGGTTGTGTCAAAGGCAAACCCTCCCGAGAGGGCGAAGAAGCTATGCGTCACCGTCCACTGATGTTTTCTTGGAAGACGTTTGGTGGTCGACTCGGGACTGTAGTCGGCGGGATCCTGTTGTCTGACCCAGGACAGGAGACGCCCAGCTTGGCTGTTTTGCTCTGAAGATTGAGCTTCGAGACCTGGAATCGAACCCAGCTCGATGTCCTGCTCAGAGTCTCTGAAAAGACCGAAATGGCCCATCGAGCCCCGGTCTAGGCTTTCGGGAGACGATTGCGCACCATGATTAGCTTGACTGCTTCTGGCGCCGATAGACACCCGTGCACCGGTTGGCGAGGTTGACGGTCGGGGAGTGCCTCGAAGTTGCTCGTCCCAGACCTCTTGTATTTCTTTGGTGAGGTTGTAGGCATTTCGTCTTTGCACCCAAGCAGTAAAAGCGATCTTGAAAGGGTGTCTCTCAGCGCACATTCATTCAGCAAACAGTCTGGAGGTGCATAATGAAAAATGAAACATTGAAGCCATACATACCATTTCAGGCGCCAGCAAGCCTAGAACCAGCCAGCTCACCTTCCTCCATTGCTGCGGTGTGACCCAGGCCTTTGGGTTCCAGTTGGAGCGTTTCTTCTTGGCTTGCTGCTCCGGAATGTTCAAATGTAACGAGGTCCAGATGCACAGGGCTAGCGTGATGATACATGTTGAGAGGATGGTGAAGGAGCCACGATATTCGGGAGGTGGATGCCAGACGGCTGGGCGGTCTTGGGGCGCCTCACCGAACAACAACATTTGGTGGGGCCTGGAGCCGGGACGTGGAGTGAATTGACCAGACTGAACAGGCAGGCGCGACTGGCGAACTCGGTCTGCATGTGCCTGGTGTCTGTTTACTTGACTTGCTGTGACAGAGTTGAAGCGAAAACATGCAAAGCTTGGGGAAGGAACAGATATATTCTCAGCGCCGAACCATGGGCTTCCGTGGTCCATCTGCCTCGTCTGTTGGGCCGGGCTCACATGGTGCTGATAGGTCTGTAGATGGGTGGCTGAGGGCAATACTGCGCCTTCAATGTTGCTCCCGTGACCACGTGCTTGGGCTGGAAATGGACCAAATGCCCAGGGAAAATGCCTCAGTGCAGAGCGAGGCTGGGTTGTGTCACCCGATGTGTATAAGCACGCGCGAATAGACTGTAAGCCGCCCAACGGCGCCCATGTCCCAAACCTGCTTTGGCCCAGAATCCGGTGATGGCTCGAGATGCTGCCACAAGTGGCCCGCGCACCCTGCTGTACCCTCGGGCGACAATGGGACTCCGGACAAGTTCTCAGGTGAAATACTTCAAGCTTATGATATGGAGAACCGTCAACATAGGGCCGATTGCAGTGTTGGGCGTGCGAGCAGCTTTTGGCTAGTGACTATAAAGGGTCTCTTCATATGTGAAAGAGTCGTTGCGTCCCCGTTTGGCAGCGCCGATATGTGGTTATTATCCGTGCTTTGTCTCGCCATCAACCTGTCTTTCAATACGCGAATCTTGAACTCAACGGATGCTATTGTCTAATCTGTAGGCATTCCTCAAAATGCCCAAATCAAGTGCCAAGATCTCGATCTAGACCACATCACCAAGAAAGACACCTGACTGAATGCTCCGGCTTGGCCAAGTACCTACCGATGCTCATCTACCCGAAGAAGCAGTCTTCTCAATAGAATCGAGCTCCGTTAAACCCCCATGATTCTATTCGGGAACGGCGCACACAGAAAGGAATCTCGCTGAATACAGAGCAGAATCTCAGCAGGTCCTTCCGCGACTGGGCTGAAGCCAAAGGGGCCGCACTCTCTTTTGATCTGCATGCCAAGTCCAGATAAGAGATCGGAAAACGGTCGACTTTGTACCGGCTGCATGAGATCGTATATGTACATCGTCAGCGTGGACACGGTTGTTTGCACAGGGGGCGATGCTCTGGCACCAGCCGGTCAGCGCCGAGTGGAGGGACCGGGCACACCGTAAATCTCAGATCTACTATAGGTCAAGCTCTAAAATGAAGGTAAAATAACCGATAGTTTCTGAAAACTCCACGACAAGGCGAGTCGGCAACACAAGTCGTCCGTTTCGCGGCTTTGCGGACTCCTCTATACCGCAGAATCGTCACTCATCATGGAAAGAAAAGTTTACGCTGTCTACAACGAGTCATCTCGCTGACGCACTCCACGTAAGAAAGCCCTTTGGGAGTAATAGTGTAATAATGCGGCAGCGGCCCAGAAGCTGGGCCATCATTCGAAGCCACCATGCAACCACCACAGACGGCGGGGATTGCAGTCAAACGGATCATCTCATTCTGCCGTGCGTTTGAGACATGTCTGAAGAATATTGATATATTACTACAATACTAGTCACATCTCCATTTGGAAGCATCAGACTATCCAATGTGTGTCGCCCGTTTCTAATTGCCCTGGTCTTTGGGACCAAAACAAGCGGCAACCAGTAAACGATGTAGAGAATGAAGACACGATTGGGACATTTGCAACATGCAGTCCTCAAAACAGCTCAACTTATGGCCCGATCCGCAGACACAAAACTGTGTAATCTTCGTCAATCCAGATACAGCGCAGTGGCTCGGACGTTCGAATCAACTGGATCGTCTGGTCCCCAATACGGGCCCATGAGTTGGAAATCCAGACTGAGGTCGTAGTAGCCCGAGGCGAGTTTGGGTCTCAATATATCAACAACAGCAGAAGTACCTGTCGGAACCACCAAATTGCGACACCTTTCCCCTTGTGATCCATGAGAGCCGAAGATTACCACCCGCAGTCCAAGCCCCGTTGTAGTAATACCATGGCTCTTTCAGCTCCTGTGAAATTGCTGCATAAGTGTCCTGCTGTGTGAGGCACCATCCTGCCTGGATATTCGTAATCCTTCTTGCCCCTAAGAACTCCCTGGAGCCGGTGCATGTTGAAGAGGTGACAACGCCGTCGGCAGATCCCAGAGTGTGGCGGGACGAGACTCTGCAGGTGGGAGACTGACGGCGCTGACAGAAAGTATCGCGGGGAGGAGGAGGAGCAGCTTGTGTAACAACATTGTCGGTTAATGTTGCAATAGATGGGTTTTGGACTAGAAGACTGAGGATCTCTTCGGGGGAAGAGCTGTGGTGAAAATATCTGTCATATCTTTTTCAGGCGAGAAGCCGGCATCTCCGCAGTTATACTCTCCTGCTCAATGTGATTTTTGGCAGTGACTCTGCATGTCGTCTTAGTTCTACCGCATTGAACAGAGAAATACGGGATGGATAAAGTAAAATGACTACTGAACCCCTACTAAGACGGTAGTACCGCAGGGCCCTGTTGGCCATTGGAGTTTCAGTCATGTAAGTGGATGCAAAGTAAGCCAAATGATGCCATAAATGTGCCGTAGTTTCGGGAGTTTCTCCGCAACATTCACAACTCTCGAGTCAGACATGACATGACATTTGAAGCGTTACCGGTGGAGAAAGCGCTCAAGTCTTGGCAACTGCATGGCAAGGTGAGACTTACCGTCGGGTTGTTTGCCGATGTGAAAATGTAACCCTATATTACTGCGGACATCGACTCTGTCAATGAACAGCCGACAGTGGCTTCATGTTTCGATGTATCATATTTGATACTGCGCGCATCAAAAAGCAACAGTCTAGTCAGTCGGTTCTATATGCTTACATGCCGATACCCAGCCTTTTTATCCTGCTACACTGTTGGAAAATAAAGGTTTAATTTCCAGTCAATTTGAACCAGGCACGCTTACGTATGCTGCAGAGAGAATAAGACGTATAATTTTAATATCTTGTCATACAAGTTTTAGTGGCTGGTACAACATCGTAGTACTTCCAGGGGATGCGACTCGCATGCGCCCTGAGTCGCTCTGACCAGTCAAAACAGCACACGTCATACGAACTGAAATGTGTCTTGGACCCCGCAGAGGCCTGGCGTTTCAATATATCGCAATTTCATTCATACATGATAGGTGTGGATGTCTTGCGTTTAAGCCCACCTTCTTACATGCTGAGTCTTGTTTTCTAGTAATCCACTCCTTTGCTAGCAACAAACTCAGACATCGATTAACGAGGGCCCCGCAAGCTGAAACGTCCTCTTGAAGTAACGTCAGCTCACAAATAGGATGTATAAACTTGTGGTCGCCAGCTAGTAAATGGTAAACAAAAAAGTGACAGTCGAATAGGTTAACAGTCCTAGGTTCCTTTTCATTGTCGTCAAGAAAACAACTCCACTTATACTCTGTTCTCTCCAAACGAGCAGACAGCCACTGACAAACTTCAAATTGTTCTGTATCACTCACAGCAACGCTTCTCACCCTCCGGCAATACTAATTTTTTCGCCTAAAGTCACAATGAGCACTCGTGACACACCTGTTGCTTTTGTTAAGAAGTGGATTCAGCAACAAACCAAGTTAATCCTGCCGCCTCAATGGAATGGGGGTTGGGAGCGATGGGCTCAGGGCCAGATCGCATTATTAATGGAAGGTCAAGACGGTTATCAGGTCTGGACGGAGCAAAACATCTATCTCGATCACCCAAACTGGGCTGTTGATCTTGAGTTCCGAAGACCTCCCGGTGTGGCGGGTGTTCGAAAGTTTCTCGAGCTCAAGTGCTACAGCGAAGTTAACAATGACTCAGCCTCCAAGTTCATCGATCGCGTGTTGCAAGACTTTAAAAAGGTCAGTCAACAGAAACTGACCCATGGTGTGCCGCACGAGCCCGACGCAAAAGGTTCAACTTTATGGGTCATTGGCATCTCGCAGACGCAGTTTAGAGGCAACATCGAGCGCGCCGGGGCCGGTAATATAGACTGGCTGCGGTTTGGGCGTGAGGAGGCTCGAAGTTCTGGGGGCACCAGTGACCGGGACACATTTGATATCTGGTACCGGAGCGTCGTAAACAACAAATAGGGAGGATACCACCAGCAGGCAGCAATGCGCAGAGTTTTGGCCAATTTGTCGCGGTAGGATACAGGTGGGAGACAGGCAGTGTATTTCATCTGGAGAGGAGCTATAGGTAGTTGAAATGTAATTTACGTGTCTTGTTTGGAATCAAGGTAAAATGTTTTCATTCGGTAGAGCATTGTGGGAAGGGGGGACAATTGATCAATGCGACTGACGTGCTTTGGTACTGGAATATGCATGGGGGACGGCGATGCTTGGATTTCCGGAAAGTAGCATTAATATGGACTCCTAATTGAAGAAACAGACTTGATTATTATCTAGCAATGCTCCATACAGGGAGTTCGCAATAGGTTATTCTTAGGGCTTGGGCTTGGGGTTGGGGTTAGGTACCAAGTCCCTTCGGCGAGCCTATGAAGAACGTGCTTCTTTGACATACTAGAGTAAAGCAAACAAAACTTGAAGGTGTAAAACGCGAAGATAGAAGGCAGAAGTTTTCTTCGCTTCTCTGAAAAGCTGAATACTTGAATATGTACTATGGAATCTCAACACAGACAGTTCTACAATCCCCCCGACCTCAAGGATGAGGTGGGACGCATTACCCAATACATGCTTGGTGTGTATTACTAGTCTGTTTCCCTTTGTTTGCATAAATTTGCGGTCGTTTTGTAATACTGCAGGTGCTAACAGCTCAAGTTATGCTGGTGTTTCCCCTCCAATGCCATCCGACCGACCTGCAACCCGCCATCAACCGTGCTTCCCCTCGATTACCAGATATGTGCTCTTGCAGTTCTGCCAATCTTCTATGCCAGCTAACACGGATATCGATTGTCATTCATCGAACATGTTGCAACACGCAGGTACCGTTTCGTCCGTCGACATTGTCAACAGCAACAGTTCAGAGTCGCTAAAGCTGACCCAAGCCATCCGTTCTGTCGTTAGATCATATACCTCAAAGTTCAACCTAGCGAAAGTTGCCATGCATGGCAGGCTTATACAATCTGCTGCCAGGCCGGCTCCTTTGACGCTCGTCAATAGAACGGTATTTGGTGGAAGGCCATCGAAATCGAGACCGTGTTCGAATCTGCCGTAATAATAAAGGGTGATGGCGGTCTACAATTAGATAATACATCAATGGCATCGATAGAGACCCAATAATTGGGCTCGAGCATCAATTCATGACTCAACTAATGGGTGCCACGTCTGACAGCAGTCTGTTGTGTGACACTCCACTTACAAACACGGGGTGTATTAGGCACAAACATGGCGACTGCTGACTTGGAGAGATGAATTTCAGGTGCTGCAAGCACCAAGAGGCATTCCAAATTAGAGCTGGAGCCTTGGTGACCAATACGCTTTTGAAATCACCTTCTTAAGCTGGTCATTTGCCCATTTACGGCTAGATGTGTGGTAAAAGCTTTTGTAATTGCGCTGCTATGTATCTGTCCACACCCCCGTAATACTTGGATGTGAGGTATCGATACGCTTCTCAATCCCATTACAACGAGACATTCTACCGATGTCTTTGTGAGAGCAGAGAAGATGGACATTTGGCTGAAACGGGCATTCCCATTTGAGGCAGAGAATCAAGGCTCTCTCAACGAATCGTGTTCGCAGCCGACGCTGCCCAGCGAAATACTGAATCCGGAAGCAGGCTTAGACACCTGTTTTGGCAGTGTAAAGCAGTCCCTCTGACAATATTAATCTAAGCTAACTACTCTTTAGATTATTGGTTTAGAGGCGCAGCTTTGTAGGAAAGACCTCTAGCCTCCATGTGATCAGGCCTTCAAAGACTCGGGCAAGCCCATCTCCGTTGTACAAACAGGCGACTATTTTACATTAGAGGTTAGTGAACAAAGGGTTGCGTACTTGAGCAAAGTACTATGCAGAACCCTTTACCAGGTCGTCACTGGACGACAGGTCAGCCGAGCATTCATACGAGAAGACTGGGATAGTGACCAAACCTCCACCATTCTTCCGATAGAGATCAACATCTAGGGTGTTAGAGCAGACTCTGAGTATATTGGCAGGATTTTGTACAAGCCTGGCATATTTCTACAATTTCTTCGGTACTTGGTGGAAGCTGTCGAATACCACAATCCACACATACTTCAACTAGAAGGGTACTTAGAACAAGATCCAGCGCAAACTGTCCCTCCGCCGGCGACAGAAATGGCCGACTTCGCAAACCTACACACTGAAAGTATATATCTTGCCAACGACTCTACAACGGTGGTAAACCGCATTCTTGACTCACTATCACACCACGTTCTTCTGCGACAGCCTCCTGCCGATTGTCGTATAAAGAGTAGCCTTTTACCGTAAGATGTAAAATACAAGTACCTAGAAAACCTCATGCTAACTTCATTTGTATCAAACTCAGTCATCAGAGGGAAGCCATCGACTTTATTTTCCAGCGAGAGACTAATTCGGTCCCCTCCGAACTGAGCCTGTGGGAATATGACGACTTGGACGTGGACAAGTCTTTGTTAGAGTCCATATTTCGAATACATTTTCATGGCATTATTAACGTCAAGTTGTACAGTTATCAGCACGTCTTCAGCGAAGCAAATCGACCGCAACAAGAGGAAACCAAAGGAGGCATTATTGCAGATGAAATGGGACTGGGAAAGTCTCTGGTTATGCTATCAACCGTGGCCGGCTCTCTTGACCGTGCAGAAAACTTCTTTACTTTTCAAATCCAATTGTTATCGAGTACACAGGGAAAGAATCCTTCCAAGTCAACTCTCGTTGTAGCACCATCTTCGCGTAAGGATTCCCTTGTTGTCTGCACTGCCGCTTAAGGATCAGTAAATTCCACTGACCGAGCTTTAAGTCTTGATTGATAATTGGATTGACGAAGTTCGCAAGTATGACATGCTAGTTGTAGAATGGTTTCTAGCTACCTAGCTTACGTGCAAAACGCTGATACACCTTTACCTTTTATAAGTATCTCGGCCCAGGAAGGCACGCGGAAACAAACTTGCTTCACAACCGGGCGATCGTGTTCACCACGTATGCTACACTGGCGACTGACTTCTGTAGCGGTAAGAATGCCCTAGCAGAGATCAACAGGTTTCGAATCGTTCTAGACGAAGGTATGTGCAAGCATCCTACGTCATTAAGTTATTGTAGCATCTTACTCCTCGCTTAGCCCATATCATTCGGAATGGCTCTACGAAACAATTCCAAGCTGTTGCTAGTCTTTTTGCACAGCATCACTGGTGTCTCACCGACACTCCTACACAGAACAAACTTGATGATCTCGGAGCGTTGGTCTCATTCGTCAATGTTCCAATCCTGAAAAACCCTGCATCTTTTCGAAAATTCATCATCAGTCCAATAGTATCAGGTTCAGTAACCCGTTATGAGAACCTCCGCGTACTTCTCCACGGTATGCATATTCGAAGAACAAGGGAGCTACTGAACCTACCAGAGCCTGTTTCGGAAATTAGAAGAGTCAAATTCACCGCCTCGGAGCATTTGGAGTAGAATAAGATACTTTTACAATGCAGAACTGACCTCGACATGATGGTGAGTGGCCGTTTAAAGGGTAGTTCAAACTCTTTTCTACTTGAGACGCTCCTGAAGCTACGCTATGTGCTCTTCGAGGCACACGACATCCCAACGCCTTTCCCACACTACGCCATTCCCTCCCACACATGGATCTCACCCAAGGAGAAAAACACTTACCAAGATATCAAAAGAGAAAAGAAGATATAGAGAATAATATATACAAGCAAAAAGGCTGGTCAAAGCTGAAAAGGTTCTGCGAGCGCGCCGCAGAGGATGGGTGGGATTGGGCATGGATGGGCAACTGCTGCATCGACAAGACCAACCCTGCTGACTTACAAGAGGCTATTGATGCAATGTACCGGTGGTACGTATGCTGGCCTCTGCTGCGCACACCTCGAAGACGTGGATGCTCTCGAGGCACTTGAAGACGCAGGTCTATTCGAGGATGGGGATCCGGACGAGAACTCAGATATTAGAGATATTGCTCGTCCTGGTAGCCTTGCCCATGAAGCTCTTAGTTCCGATTTCATCAAGGCCAGGTGGTTTTCCCGAGAATGGACATTTCAAAAACTTTTGGCTCCTCACTTTTTGGTCTTTGTTGATCAAGAGTGGCGCCGTATGGGCAGCCGGGAGAGCTGGGCCGGGGAGATCAAGGAGGCCAGCAGCATCGAAACCCGACATTTAACCTCTTTTACACCGACAGATTTCCAATCATGTTCTATAGCAATGAGACTATCCTGGGCGTCTCGACGTGTCACAACCGGCGAGGAGGACGAGACGTACTCGCTATTGGGCCTGTTCGGGGTCAGCCTCCCATTGATTATGGCGAAGGGAGGTGGCGAGCATTTCACAGGCTCCAGCGTGAGTTAATTACGGTGTACAACGGCGACACTCTTTCTGATCTATCTAGGCTCTTAGGGAGAGAAAGAGAAGCCGAGCTTCTAGACTACTACCAACTCCTTGTGCATGTCCCAAGGGCGTATAAGGGAGCATGGTCTACATGGTTCAATTTGAAAGTGGCTTAAGCCGTAAACGTCTTCTCGTCGTCTCCTTACAACACGTCCACTAGGTCTGCTCTTCTGCAAGCCCACTAGACGCCCCAATAGACACATGTGCCATTCGAAGTGAAACCCTGAGATACTCATTTGTACCCTGCCGCGATTCTACGATATCTTGTATACCCCAGCAATTATTGATCTTGTTCGTCTACGAATAGCAATCACGACAGTCTCCGACCTCCTCTTCCTCTTCCTGCGTGCTTGATATCTGGCCCTGGTCTTTTTCAAGTTCTTGCTCCTGCAATGAAGGCAGCCGTCTGTCCCCATTCTTGAGATGACCACCGCAAACGCGAGGCCTTTCTCCTCTGTGTGTGCTCACATGACGCGTGTGATTACTGCCCTCGAAAAGCTATTCCCACATACGCCGCATACATACGGCCGCTTGTTCGTATGCGTATAGAGGTGTGACTTCAAGTTGTACCGTCTGTTGTAGATGGCCGGGCAGTGCGGGCACTTAAATGATGTTTGTCGTTGCCGCTTCGGTTTCGGCGACTGTCGTTGTACGAGAAGTTGCTATGGCTCTGGAGACACAGACTCTGAGGACTCTCTCTCTTCCCCTTGCGCCTCTGCCATGCTATTCCTCACATCATGGTCCGTTGGGAATTTCCGCTCTTGAATGTCTGCTGCCGCGTGCGTCATTCTCATGTGCTTATCCCGGTCCGCTTGTGATGTGAATCCAAGGAGAAATCCCGTACACGCTTCATCTGTACACCGGAACGGCCGATCGTGCCATTCGATGTGCTTATCGCCCTTGTGAGCCGCGGAGAACACTGCCGTGAAAAACTGACAACTAAACCTGTAGCATTTGAAGAGGTCGCTACTGTATCTCTCTTGGGGCCCTTCTCTCACGGAGAACTCTATCGTAGAGGACAATATGCTTTCCAGGATAGAGCGTACTTTGACGACAATGTCTGCAAGATTCAGAGCACTCTCGCCCTTTTTCAACTTTCCGAAGAAGCTTGTGTTTGCTCAAGTTTGTCGTAGAAAAGCAAGTTTTTGAAGAACCGAAGCCTTTCACGATTTCGATTTGACACCGAAAAGTGTGAGCTTGGGGAAGACCAATAGTGGTGGATGAAAACCTCCAACGATTCGGCGAGCTAGTTCATCAGTTGCTGATAAGCATCGGCATATACAACGCCTGCTTCTAGGTGTTGAATCCAGTATAGGACATCGTAGTCCATAAATACGTAATCCCCATTCAGTACTGCATCTTATATAGGGGAAAGTATAAAGGTCGAAAGGTTCAGGTAGTCAATACAAAGACACGCTATCTTGAGCTCTTTAACAGGTGGATCAACATGCTTATCCTGAATTAAAAAGCTGTTCGGACGCTATTAGCGGAGGCCTCCTCAGACGTGTCTGCAAGACTCACAACTTCACAGTCTGGAACCAACTCTAGGGTCCCATCTGCTCGGACCTCGACCAAAGACTCGCATAGATCTTTCGGAGCCACCACAAACCGTTGGCGTTCATGCTCAACTGAGAGTTTGTCCCGGGTGATAGACTTCAACCCTTGAACCTCTTGCCACCTGAGTGGTCTCTTTGCACACACAAGCCACCCAAGGAGCATCAACGCGTCCCGCAACCCGGCACGAGACTCCTGCATCTTTATTCTGTGCATGATTCGTCGGTAGCTATGATGAGTTTAGTCAAAGAAGTGAATCAAAGCCATCTTTTGGCCTCCTAAAACTTACGCATCATTGATCTCCGTTGGGAAAATGTGTTCCTCTAGTTCTTCTTCCCAGCCACTAGCTGACGTCTGTCCTAGCAGGTTTAGCCATGTCAGTTTTGCAAGCAGGAACATGTCTTATTTGGCAAAATTAGCAACCTAGATATATCACGTATGGATTGACAATGCAACATGCCTCTGACAGAATTGGCCATGATGCGAGAGACCTCGCTTGCTTTTTGATCCGAAAGCTGAAGCTTTGGTTGGACCTCAGCTGCCTGGATACGGCTGTAAACATCGATATCGCCCTTGTTGTCCTCGGGGCCAATCTTGATACTGGCAAGTCCGGAAAAGTATTTTCGGGCAATGTCGTCATCTTGACTCACGAAGAGACATTGTAGTATGTCAGGATTATCACTGGGGAGATCTTCGACTAGCTTTCTGAACCACTGTGTAATATGTTTCCGCTGTTCTCTTACACAGTCATCCAGACCATCAATAATTATGTATGCAGAGGGGCAGTTCTTGAATGCGAGCATGAGGAGGTCTTCAACTACTCCAGGGAAGCAAGTACGGCTTCTGCGCTACCGCGGACTTTTTGTAGAAATAGGGCTGTAGGCCTTTGTCACGCTCGAGAAGTTGTGCAAGTAAGCTCCGGCCAAGTGCGCCTCCTCCACGACAAGTGACGCCAGGATAGTCTTTCCTATTTACAGTCAGCATCATCTCTCAGAGGGCAATGCCGCGCATCGGGTCAAGAAGAGCTAGTTTCCGGCACCAGGTACACCATTGAGCCAGAGTAGCGGGGGAATTGAGGGAAATCGCGGATCAAACCACTCTTTAAAAGTCGTGTTGTCCAAAAGCCAGCGTCCACTGTCAGGATACTCTGATCGAGTTTTGAAATAATAATACTGGTCGGTCTCGATATTTGTGGCGTTCAACCAGCTACATACGGCTCTGAATCGTCTCTCCTGGTCGAAATTCATTTCCTTCTCACGTTGACAATCGTCTAGTTGCCCAGCCCTCTGTGACTCTTCAACCTCAGATGGGGTGGCATGACTCTCAATCAGACTTCGATGACGAGCAATTTTGGAAATAATGTTGGAGAGGCGGCACTTGCATGTCTGCCACGTCGTAATAAATAGCCGCTCCCACTCTTTGCGCCGAGCATTAGCAAGATTGCCAAGCGAGAAGTGAAGACGCACGCGGCTGCTAAAAGTGCCGTAACTCGATCCCGTGAAAGTTGAGGATATCTTGATACATGTGCTGCAATATCTGTACCATGTGAGGCTCAGTCAAGAAGACGGAAAACGCAATCTCTGAGTCCGCAGTCGGAGTTGTACATATGGACGACTGTGTCGGCTCGAAGCTCACCGCTGAACCCCCAATTCTCATTATCCACTGTTCTCAGGAGGTGATATTTTTTTACTTTGATGCAACGCCATTTAATGATGAAATCAGAGACTACCAGCTATAAGTATGAGCCGCTGACAAGTTCCTTTCTTTGTATTGTTGCGCTGCCTAGGTATGTAAACAAAGAGCGTGAAAGTTGTCAATCAGGTTCCAGACTCTGCTCATCGATAGAAGACCCAAGTTGCATCAGAGAAAGCCCGTCAAACAAATAACATACACCATGTCATCGTGTCCAACTGTGCATTATAGCAAGTCTTGATTTAAATATTCTCATCTTCCTCGACATTTGAACCAACCATCATCATTGCTGCCTACCTAGACATCGAAGCAGCAAAGGAGCAATAGTTACTCAGCAGTCCCACCAGACAGGTGTCCATTAATAAAAGTACTGATGTTCCTGCCCTCATTATCCTGGAGCAGCTGGAAAATCAACTTGTTCATGAACTGGGGGGCCTCATGCCCCTGGGCCGTGCTTCTCCCAAGGTTGAGCTTGTTTCTGTCGAAGATGTAGAATTCGTGAGAAACCCGCGAAATGACATTGTCTGAGACCTTGTTCTTGACTTCGTGGTACCATTCGTCGAGGACTTTGAAATTTGGTGCAACAATGACATATCGCCAAGACCAATCGTCATTGCTCTGTTTACATGGTTAGGATATTGTCCAAGGACTAATGTGTTAAGGAACAAGTGCTCACGTTCTTAGCGTAGGCGTAGTAAACCATGATTGTCAGTCTGAATAGACGCTCTGAATCGTGTAAAGTATTCGAATACTTTAGAGGGTTGTAGAGAGTTGTCGAGCGGAACTTGAGCATGGAATGCCTTCGCTCTTTAATAGTTATTTCGTCCTGGTGAATATTGGAGAACCCGCACAGTGTGAGACAGGGTCTATGAAATTTTCGTCTTGCATAACTTGGAGTGAGGGGTAAATGATATATCACTTGGAATTCTTGGGGTTTTGGAAGATTCACCGGGAACAGGTTGCAGAAAGTTTCGTTTTATCAGGGTCTCGCCCAACAAGATCCGTTGAGAAGGGACTGGATGTGACGCTATACGTACAACCACATGAGCTCATACCACCCCAGCATGCATTGGAATGACGTTATTTCCATTTTGACCATCCGCAGGTCGTCGACCTGGGTCGGTTAATGTCGAAGATTTGTTTCTGCTCAGGGAACAAGAATGGTGCTTGCGGGGTAGCAAATCATGAATACCACTTCAGTCAGCACACCGCCTGTATCTTCCTGTCCCGTTATACCTTGTCTCGGAGTGTTTCAGGACAGATATCTTGTCATCCCGTGTGGACACGCCATCCCGAAAGTAACGCATTCTCGATTCCAGGCTCTGGCACAAAATCCGGCCGGCTTCCGGGAATCACTGCCATTTCTTGTTAAACATTCTGGAGCTGATCTTTGTTTTTTCGCCACAGTGCTGTAGATGTCCAGTATCCCCCCATTACAATATTGCTTGGGCATCATGGGCAAAACCAAGAGGCTACTGATAGATGGCTCGTTTGGTGAACCAGTATATTCTAATAGTGGTTAGATTCTGGTGCAATTTTAATTGCAACATAACATTTGAACTGCTACCATCAAGCGGGGTAGTTATGCGCACTCATATGAAACACATGCATCTGTAGAATCGGCTCATTGCGGAAGATCAATCCTGCACATACACATTACTACCTAGGCGACAAAAAGTTTCCAAAGATCATGACGCCTCCACAAAGCCACCTAGAATTTTGAGTGTCATTCATACGTTAAACCTCGACTACGTTTGAGCAACCGAGATATACGTGTTAACTGTTTTCATGATTGTTTGGCATTGAAGCGAAATCTGAAATGTTGACTCAACTGGACGAGAATGGGCTTTTTTTTTAACCAGGTTAGACAAAAAGCCCAATTTGAGACACATGTTCCACATCAAAGTGACCATCCTAAAGCTAGATGAGAAGCAACCGAGCAAGTTGCCCAGCTCGACTTTGTGGATTCTGAAGTATAGACGGCAGCACACCACGTTCTAACAGCCACTGTCTCACCACTTCGGATGTGAAAAGTATCCAAGTACCCCTTGGACATTCTAGACAAAATATCACAAATCCCCGCTCTCATCCTATAACCGGCTTTCATCCCGATCCATCTCCGATATTCTTTCCGGTTTAACGAATGGCAAAAAAAAAGCAGATTGCACAGTCACTTACAGCAATATTGGCGTTTCTCCCAGGCGTAGTACCGACGCCGATAATACTGTGGTTAATTCCTGCGAGCGACCAGGGATCGGGAAGGTTGTTCAACCAGCACCTGATCTTGCCGTTTTTAGGACCGATCCAGAAGTGATCTGCTTCAGTCAGTTCCGGTTTTCACCCTGTTCAGGCTATGACATCTTGCCGGCCTTGCCTTCGCCGTTCATATCGGCCAAGCTCTCATTTTGCAACTATTAGTTGATTCATCATATCTATCCGGACATGGTCTAAACCTCACCGGACATATTGAGAATCAAGACCAAGGCCGTCTGCGTCCGCCCCTTTCCAATATTGTAGAAATTCCAATCTCCATTTTGCCCCGCGTCCTATTTTTCCCATTTCGTAGAACACAGGCGTTGTTTTGCAGCTTGTTGAGTTGTTCCGCGGGACAAGAAAATATGTCTCAATAACCTAAGTCTCAGAAGTCGTAAAGACAAGACTTTTGACCCAATCCGAAAGAGCGATGTGTCTATCAATTCCACCGTCATCTCCAGGACTGTTCTCGTGCGCCAGACCCTTTCTAACAGGCTTCTTGATCCATTCTTTTGGAATTTGCGTTCTAAAGTCGTACCAATAATACCAAATGTCTTGTAGCCATCACTTATAGGGTGAACGCAATCTTGAAGCCAAAAAAGTCTGAAATGTGGTAGGTCCACGGCAAGGATGTAATGCCATGCGTGCTTGCGTTTCTGTGTAACTAAGGGAACAAGCTGTTGGTATTGTTTAGTGTGATTAGACTGCTTCGGGTAACAAGTGTTAATTATACCAGCAACAAGAGTAACTGCGTGTGGACGTTCTGTAATAACTTGATCAAGTAGATCGCCCAGGGTGTTTTCAGCCCCTTGCAGGTCAATTCCTTCGGTTGATATTGCCCCATTGGGATTCTTGTCATTGCTGCCTGCATGCAGAAGAACAATATTGAGTCCCCGCTTTAGGGACAACCCAATATTATCTGAAAATGAACTCGATGGCTTTGCCCGACCAGCCCGCCTATAATAAAGGAATAGTCAGTCTGGAAAGTAAGGTGTTTGCTTACAAAGTATCCGTCGTCCATCGAACCGTAGAAGTCTCCGCACCAGCGAAGACCACGTTGACTTCTATCAATTGTGATCAAACATTTGTCAGAATCGTCTCGAGTGATTAGTATTTGGAGCTCAAGCAAACCTCAAGAGGAAGACTCGGGGGATCACAACCATTGGTATTCCCAGGTCGATGGAGGTAAAGCAGCCTCTTCTTCTGCAGACCAAGGTTTCAGGTCATCTTGTGATTTGACAATATCAACCTCAACCCTGACTTCATGGCACAGATTTCTTAGGCGCTGCCTCATATCGGTACCCCACTCGACATCCGATTCGTGTAGTTGAAGCCAAAGTGAGCGAATATGCGGCGTTGCTGGCCTCTGGGATATCATCCAGTCTTGCAGCGCCTGTAGTAGAGCCTTATCATGGTAGTCCATGTCGTATATTATGTGGAAGTTATCGTTGATTGTGAGACGTTCAATGCTAGTGGGTAGAACATTTCCTAAACGCTCTGCTGGGATCCCCGAAAATCCAAGAAGGAAGAATTGCGGACAGGATAGAGATTTCCATTTTAAGAAGTGTTTCAAAGGACGTCGCGAGCCTCGGATATGTAATGATATATAGTCGCCTACAGGCCACATTATATTTCAGCTTCAATAGTCAGCTCAATCAAGGTGCTGTGAACGTGAGATAAATCGGCAAAGATTTTGTCAAAGTCGATAGTGAGAGAGTTCAAAGGAACCCTATGGTTATCGTTACAAGTCCACTCCCGACGCAATGACTTGAGCGATGTTGTGGCTTCCAAAACATAACCTAAACACCCTTCTCTTATTGTACTAAGATGGAGAGAGGTGAGATTTGAAGGGTTGGGAGGTGCGATACAAGGCCAAGTGAAGGAACTAGTATTGCTTATCGAGATAGCTATACGTTCTAGGTTAGGCAGTTGAAACAATATAAGACGTCGGCTGGATTTTTGGTGGTCTATCGATGCAGTGAATACAAGTCAAATGCCGAGCATGCTCAAGAATCAGAGCCTTGCTCGGACCTTGGGTGACATGTTTCCGGCCTTGAAGCAGTCATCGCTTCCAGAACCTACATTTTCGTCGAATAAAGCCATTTCCACGAAAAGTCCACCTCGTTACCTGGCTCATGCGCCGTATTTACAAAGCTCCTCGATTTCGTATCGGCGTCGGTAAAAGAGGAGGCCAAGCGCCATTCCATCCTGAAGTCTAGCAAGGCCGAGTTGACAATTTTGACGGTTGGAGATGACGAGACGAGTACTGTTTCAACTTGACAGAAAACGGCTGCGACTAAGAATGAATATTAGACGACGTATTCCGGTACCCTAGCCATTACGGAAAGCGTTTATGAATCCCCAAAGGCACTGCATTCTGCCCTCAGCGGCGTAGCTCTCCGAATGTTGCGGCAGCCAGTGCCAGACTCGATCCCTGCACTGTATCGCACCCAGATTCTCACGAGGGCACATGTACAGTGCGCAGGTGTCGCACCATCGCACAGTGTCTCAGGAACACCCGCCGCAGCATCGACACCTCGCGAGCGGCCACTTCATATCCAAGCTCACTCTCAGTCTAACATCTCTTCTCTGCACCAGCAGGGCACACATAACAGCATTGCAAATACTCTCGTGCAATCTTCGCCCGCCAAGCGAAAAAAAAAAAGCCCTACTCGGTGCCCCTCCATCCTCAATCCCACAACCCAAACCAACCCCGTCGGCGGCTTACGACCAAAACTCCAAAACCCAACATCACCAACAGTCCTCACAATGCCACCCATACCGCCGCACAAACACCCTCTCCCGCGCCTCATAACCTACTACCAGACCCACCACACGCCCTCGGGCGAACACATCTCGGTGCTCCCGCTCCTCACGCAGCCCTCCATATCCCTGACACACCTCATCCTCGCAGCATGCCACATCAACGAGCCCCCCTCCCAGCTCACCCTCAACGACCACCCGCCGTCGCACCCGCGCTTCCAGACCCTCTGGGCCGAGCTCCGCGTCCTCCAGGCCTCCGGCGTCAAGGTGCTCCTCATGTTGGGCGGCGCAGCGCAGGGAACCTACCAGCGCCTAGAGTCGGACCAGTTCGAAGCCTACTACGCGCCGCTGAAGCAGCTCATCCGCGAGAGAAATCTAGACGGCGTCGATCTGGACGTCGAGGAGCCCATGAGCCTAGGCGGCATCATCAGATTGATCGACAGGTTGAGGGCCGACTTTGGCCCCGGCTTCGTCATCACCCTGGCCCCCGTAGCCATGGCGCTGCTGGATCCGGAGAAGAATCTGAGCGGCTTTGACTACGAGGCGCTCGAGGTCATGAGGGGCAAGGAGATTGCCTGGTACAACACGCAGTTTTACTGCGGATGGGGCAATCTAACAAACACCCTGATGTACGACTTGATGCTCCAAAAGGGTTGGAGCCCCGAAAAGTTGGTTGTGGGCGTCGTCACAAATCCGGCTAATGGCTCTGGGTTTGTGCCGTGGGAGATGCTCTCCGCCATTTTGGCCATTTTGCACAGGCGCCATCGGAACTTTGGAGGAGTCATGGGCTGGGAGTATTTCAACAGTCTCCCTGGTGACGCGAGCCGGCCTTGGGAATGGGCAGGCAACATGTCGTCGTTGCTAAGAGCACACTCGCTAGGCCCTGTTCCAACGCCAGCCGGCACAGATATTCAGCCCAGTGTCGATGGCGAGGTGGACCCGGATCCTATTAACAATCGTCCTTTGGAGGTGCCCAAGAGTTTTGACTACTACTCCGATGGCACAGACCACGAATAGAAACATGGAGAGGGAAGAACTGCCAGATTCGAAACACCATAGACATTTTTCACAGCAGAAGCATCCTAGACACAGAGATAGAATTGAGTCTATTCGTTCCAAAAAAAAAAAGAGGCAGATGTCTAGTGTAAAGCCAGCAACATAATCATGAGTCCACCATGCCAACCTATCTCAACATATCGATATCAATATGAAAGCAAGCACCATATATCTGCCCATGCGTGCTTAATGAATCATGCCTCATCAAACATCCTTTCAAACACAGGCCATCCACGGGTCGCATTGGCCCCTGATGGTGAAATTGTTGAATTCCGGATAACTGCCCTTCATGGCTTCAATGATTGGATTGAAAAAATTCTTGTCGAAGCGTCCAGTCTCACAGATAGAGCATGGGGGGGTGAGAAAATTATCGTAATGAGTCTTGTACGCGAGGCGGCCAACTACATTGTTGGTGGCCAGATCAGTTGCCTCCAAAGTGAATGATTCAGGCATCACAACCCAGTTCAGAGAAGTGTTATTGGGGCCACTTCCCCCTGGAATGACGGGGTTCTGGTTGAACCACAAGCTGTTGAGCCCAACATCTCGCAGAGCCTTAATCAGGAGGAGAGTCATGTGAGTGTCTTCGTCAATCTGAATTCCAGCGCAGTCGATAGTGATATTGTAGCCAACACCGCGGGCTGGTTCGCCTATGCAACGGCCAGAGTTCTTGTCCCAGACGAAATGGTTGATGAATGACTGCCAAGTATCCTGCCAGTTGATGAATCGAGGGTTGACGCCGGAGTAAACGCTCAGAGTGCCCTTGTTGGGGTTGTAGGTGGGCACCGGCTGACCTGAGGTAGTAGTGACAGTGGCGGTAATGGTCTTGGGGGGCTCGGTATAATAGGTGGTAGCGGGCGTGGCAGTAGAGGAAGTCATGGTAGATGGGTGATCCATGTCGTCAGGCCGAGAAGGGGGTTCGTTGTCGTGATTACAAACAAAGGCAGTCCAGCAAATGGCATCATGATTGACAGTCCTGTTGATGGCTGCACTTACAGGGCGTCCCCGATAGGCCCAGCAGTTGAGCATGTTCTTGCCATCCTTGCTGGAAACGGCGCTGCCAGCCTTGAAGCCATCAGGAGTGCCTTCTTCGATGTAGGCGGTCCACACTTCACCATTGGGCATGGTAGCAGTGACTCCCTGGGGTGTCCAAGGGTAGATTCCGTCCTTGTATGGTACCTGAACGGCCATGTCTGGGGCATTGGGATAGTTGGCAGCAGAGGCTGGCCATTTGATATCCTTGTACCAGTTCATCTGGCGAGAGGTGGACCAGTCGGGGTGTTCTTTGTCGTCCCCAATGCCGCAGTCACAGAGAATGAGGTCACCCTTGGAGGATTTCTCACCGTAGACCATAGATGTCAGGCCGAGAACGGCAACGAGGCCATTGGTAAGCTTGGTAGCAGGCATTTTGCTGAGGAGGAGGGTAGTGTTTTGGCAGAGGTTTGCAACAACGTGGACAACTCTGTAGATGAGAATTCGTAGAGAGATAAGTTGAGAGAAAAGAAAAAGAAGAGAGAGTAAAGGGGGAATTTATGGCCAGCTAACTGCTGTTTCCTTCCCAGACGTCTAGTGTCGCTTACACGGAAGGAGCTGCCAGCTGGCACAGGTGCCACTGGAGAGTGTGATCCGGTTTCGGACTAAATTTTTTGCCCGGAAATCACAAGTTTGTGTTCAGAAGGGTTTTTTGAATCGTATCAAGGCTTGAAAGTCTCCATATATTCAGTGAAACTTTGATCCAGTTCCGCTGATGTATTCAGTCGGTTCGCGACCCATGTTATGATATAACTGCCAGGAAACCACGCGGTCTCAGGTGTACGACTTCTGCACTCCCCCACAACCCATTATCAAATTTATGTAAAGCAAATCTATACAATTAAATAGACTGATATCACTCAGAGACATGTTTAAATGCCTCCAGCCGGCTTTTGAATATTCGTAGCCAAGAACACACAACTGCTCCGCCTACCCTAGACCAAGGGTTCAACTTTCGTCGTCTTGTCCGCTCGGAACTATAATCCGCCGAATCGTATTTCGCACTTGAGCTGCTAACAACCCCAACCCGTGAGCTTCTCGGAGACATCGCCGGTTCGAATGCCTTGGAAGGCAATCTCCTAGGACAAAATTATGTTCCGTCGCGCCAATGCCCCAAATTGGCTTCGCCAGCTACGAGCTCGCCGCTCAGTGCCTTACTTCACACCGGGCATCCGCCACAAATCCTCGCAAGCATCACGCATGGACCGCGTCACAGCACGACTGCCCCGGCGCCTGCAAAAATACACCAATGGGCTCCGGAATGCGCCGGTATCGCACGTTGTGTCATTTCTCATCCTCCACGAGCTTACGGCCATTGTCCCGCTGTTTGCGCTGTTTGCGCTGTTCCACTATACTACATTCGTGCCGGTGGCATACGTGACCTCGCATTTTGGGGACTATGTGCAGACCGGCATCTCGCGATTTGAGGGGTATTTTAGTAGGAAGGGCTGGTTTGGATTTGGCCCGGGCGATGTGGACAAGGAAAAGGCGGACGATGCCATGGATAAATGGAAGAGCGGGGAGCAAAAGTTCAAGATCCTAGTTGAGGTTGCTCTGGCGTATGCGATTACCAAAGCCTTTTTGCCTATCCGAATAATAGGCAGTGTCTGGGCAACTCCATGGTTTGCGGGCGTGTTGCTACACTTGAGACGAGTCTTGACGCGTAAACCATAAATCAATAGAAACAAACTATACGGATGCCTATCGACAAACAATCCTTTTAATATTTTTTCATCTTGGCCGATATATGTACATATGTCGACTATGGATATTGCTTTCCGCAAAGTTTTCTGTCCAACAATCGTGCCGAGCGCATTTAAGCCTTCTCATAGATCCAGTCGAACTGGGACTGCTTGTAGCTGACAACATCACCCTCCTTGAACCAGAGAGCAATCTCCTTCTTGGCGTTCTCGACGGAGTCGGAGCCGTGGCAGACGTTGCGGCCGACGTCAATGGCGTAGTCACCACGGATGGTGCCGGGGGCGGAGGCCAGGGGGTTGGTGGCACCGAGGATGGCTGAGTTTGTTAGTGATATGCGGGAAAAAAACGTCATGGGCGGTTGCTTACTGCGGCCAGTCTTGACGGCATCACGGCCCTCCCAGACCATGGCGCAGATGGGACCAGAAAGCATGTCTAAGGGAGGGAAGTTAGTGTCTGTTGATCCTTTCAAAGATATCCAGCTATACATACACTTGATGAGACCATCGAAGAAAGGCTTGCCCTTCAGGTCGGCGTCTGTGAGGCGTCAGTAAGTGCAGTGTTGGTGATGTGGGCAATATTTCACGAACAGTGAGCCTCAAGGTGCTCCTTGGAAGGAGTGACGAGCTTGATGGCGGCAAGCTTGAAGCTGCTAACAGTCAGCAAGGACTATTCCTGCCCAATCGTCTAGATTCGGCCAAATGGGACCTTGGATGGGTAGTTTCTTACCCGCGGTTCTCGAAACGGGAGATGATGGGGCCAACGAGACCACGCTGGACGTTGTTAGCAAAACAATATCAATGAAGCAAGATATGCCATGGGAGCCTACCTGGACGCCATCGGGCTTGATAGCAATGAAGCTATTTCACATCGTGTTAGGAATCGACTCATTGAAAAAGCTTTTGGAGGGGTAGCATGGCGGGGTAAACCGAAAAAAAAAAGACAAAAAAAACAAAAGAGATTCAGGCCTGGGTGAGAGACTCACGTCTGCTCGGTGGAAGACATTGTGCCTTTAGGTTCTGAGTACGTCGAAGCTGGAATAGATAAGAGGTCTAGAGGGGTTGAATGGACAGAGTTTGGAGCGGGATCGTGACGAGAGGAGAGAAAGTAAATAGCAATGGCAGCCAAAACGAAGGCAATGAAGGGGAGAGCGAAAATTGGTGGGGGCAGGGCTTCCACAGCGCGCCGCAGCGGGTTCCTAGCAGTGGTGCTGCTGGCGCTGGTGCTTCTGCTTGCATGTGTGCCTGAAGCGGGGTTTTGCTGGTCGTGGTGGGGTTTGGCCATGATGATTTGACGACGGCAGTGAACGGGTCGTGGTTCAGGCCCTGACGCCAGTTATTGTTGGAAGAGGTGATGCCAGTCGCATATGGATGGGTACAGTGCGGAAAACGATGCTTGGTTGCGTCCGTTTCAGCGTCTGCGTCCCAGGTGCAACGGCGACGTGTTAAGTGTCTGGTCTGTACTGCTTGCCTGCCTCGTGACTCAAGACATCAGCCAGGAGAGTTCTGGACCGTGTCGCGATGCGAGTCAATTCTTGTTGAACATTGCGACAAATTCATCGGCCCGCCTGGGGCTTGCCAACTTGTCCGTCCATACAGTGCCCTCCATCCTGCCATCACAACCTCACAGTTTGGCGCCAAGTCTTGGACCCACTGGCCGTGCAGTGACCACCGCGCGCCAGTCCACATTGGGAAGCTTACCGCAGGGGCCCAGGGGACAGCTTGCATCGACGTTACAACAAGAGGCACAACCAACATGGAGCACACTGGTTGGCCCTTGACCTCCTCCATCTACATCAATTGATCTCATCCACGATCGGGCGACGGGATCTGGCCATTGTTAGACTGCCTGAGCCAGGCTTGGATGCACCAAGGAATTGAGTCCGTCCCATGTTGCTCCCTTACTTTGTCCTGCAATCTCGCCCTCGTACCGTGCCACCTTCCACCTCGGCCTGCCCACTCCCTCGACCATGAGGTCAACATTAGGACTACCGACCCGATGGGCAGCCATTCTGTGTCTGCTAGCTGCTTTGTCCTGCTTGCTTCAACCTTCTGGTAATACATGTTTATCAAAACTTTGCCATGGCCTCTGCCGTTGCTAATGCCGCTCGCCAGCATCCGTCAAGGAACACGACTTCAAAAAGTGTGACCAGTCCGGGTTTTGCAAACGCAATCGTGCCTACGCCGACAACGCCAACGCTCACAGCTCAACCTGGAGCTCTCCCTACGAAGTCTTACCCGAATCTGCCAAGTTTAAAGATGGCCAATGGCAAGCCGTGATTCTCAAGACCATCAACAATGGCGAGAAGGCTGCACTGCCCATTACAGTGTCACTTCTGAAGAGCGGTGTCGCCCGCATCTCCATCGATGAGGAAAAGCGACAAAAGAAGGAGATTGAGCTGCGACATAATAGTAAAGCCCGAAAAGAACGCTATAATGAGGCTGAGGACTGGGTCATCGTCGGCGGACTGGAGCTGGATAAGCAGGCGCAGGTCGCCTTCCAGGATAAGTCTCAGGTCAAAATCAAGTACGGTGGTGACGGCAAACTTGAAGTTGTCATCAAGTTTTCACCATTTGAAGTTGATTTCAGACGTGACGATGAATCCCATATCAAATTTAACGACCGTGGACTGTTTAACATGGAGCACTGGCGACCAAAGATCGAAAAAGAGAAGGCCGAAGGCGATGACAGCAAGGCTGAAGAGAACGCCATGACTGACGGTGGTGAGGACGAGAGCACCTGGTGGGATGAGTCCTTCGGTGGCAACACAGACTCCAAACCCCGTGGTCCGGAGAGTGTGGCTATGGATATCTCCTTTGTTGGATATGAACAAGTCTTTGGCATTCCCGAACACACCGGCTCCATTTCTCTCAAGCAGACCCGTGGCGGCGATGGGAATCATCATGAGCCCTATCGTCTGTACAACACCGATGTCTTCGAGTATATCCTAGATAGTCCCATGACCCTATATGGCGCAATTCCCTTCATGCAGGCGCACCGTAAGGACTCCTCTGTTGGTGTCTTTTGGCTGAATGCCGCCGAGACTTGGGTCGACATTGTCAAGGCCAAGGACAACAAGAACCCCCTCAGCTTGGGCAAGGGTGCCAGGACTAGCACACATACCCATTGGATTTCCGAGGCTGGTATATTGGATGTTTTCGTCTTCTTGGGACCAACCCCGCGCGATCTTACCAAGAAGTATGGCGAACTTACTGGCTACACAGCCATGCCCCAGGAGTTTTCCGTTGGCTACCACCAGTGTAGGTGGAACTATATTTCTGATGACGATGTCAAGGACGTTGACCGTCGAATGGACAAGTACAAGATCCCCTATGATGTCATTTGGCTTGACATTGAGTACACAGAGGAGAAGAAGTACTTCACGTGGGACCCCCACTCCTTTGCTGACCCAGTTGGCATGGGACAACAGCTGGATGCCCATGGTCGCAAGCTTGTGGTAATTATCGACCCTCATATCAAAAAGGTAGACAACTACGCCGTTAGCTCAGACATGCTCTCCAAAGACTTTGCTGTTCACAACAAGGATGATGAAATTTACGAGGGCTGGTGCTGGCCTGGCTCGTCCAACTGGGTCGACTGTTTTAACCCCAAGGCTAATGAGTGGTGGAAGACCCTGTTCAAGTACGACTCGTTCAAAGGAACCTTGGAGAACACTTTTCTCTGGAACGATATGAATGAGCCGTCAGTCTTCAACGGCCCCGAGACTACCATGCCCAAGGACAACATTCATTTTGGCAACTGGGAGCACCGTGATGTCCACAACTTGAACGGCCTCACGTTCCATAATGCTTCCTGGGAAGCCATGGTCAGCCGCAAGAAAGGGGAGAAGCGCCGTCCCTTTATTCTCACGCGTTCTTTCTACTCTGGCTCTCAGCGACTCGGTGCCATGTGGACCGGGGATAACCAGGCCAACTGGGAGCATCTCGCCGCCTCTATTCCCATGGTTCTCAACCAGGGCATCTCTGGATTCCCCTTTGCCGGTGCTGATGTTGGAGGCTTCTTTGGCAACCCCGACAAGGACCTGATGGCCCGATGGTACCAAGCCGGTATCTTTTACCCTTTTATGCGAGCACACGCTCACATTGACTCGCGCCGTCGCGAACCATACATGCTTGGCGAACCGTACACGGAAATTCTTACTAAAGCTCTCCGCCTTCGCTACGCATTGCTTCCATCGTGGTACACAGCATTCTTCCACGCCAACCGCGACGGAAGCCCCATTGTTCGCCCCATGTTCTGGACTCACCCATCTGAGGAGAGCGGCTTTGCCATTGATGACCAGCTCTTCCTTGGAAACACCGGTCTACTGGCGAAGCCTATTGTCGAAAAGGACAAGTTCTCGACTGACATTTGGATCCCCGATGACGAAATCTACTTTGATTATACTACGTACCAGATTCTCAAAACCCAGAAGAACAAGCGCGTTGCCGTGGACGCAGCCATTGATTCTGTACCGTTACTCATGCGAGGTGGTCACATTTTCCCTCGTCGCGATATCCCTCGTCGGTCTAGCGCAGCCATGCGCTTTGACGACTACACCCTGGTGGTGACCGTTTCCAAGGATGGTTCCGCCGAGGGAGACTTGTATGCAGATGATGGCGATACCTTTGATCACGACAAGGGACAATACATTTACCGCAAATTTAGCCTCGCTGACGGCACCCTCTCATCTGTCGACGCAGAGGGTCGCAGTGCCAAATCAGTGAAAGCTGATGGTTGGCTGAGGGCCATGAGCCAAGTACACGTCGATCGTATCATCATTGTCGGCGCCCCTGGCAGCTTGAATGTGAAGGAAGTGCCGATTGCCTCGGAGGGTAAAACGTGGGCAGTCAAGGTTGACTACCACGCCGCTGAGAAGGGGAGGGCCGCATTCGCTGTGCTTGGTCGGGTGGGTGCTAAAATTGGCGAAGACTGGAGCATTAAGATTTAAGTGTGTACTGTAGCTAGAATAGATACTGTAAACTACTGATGACTACTTGCCGAATTATCAAGTGAACCGAATCACGGGTAGGCGTGGATGCATGTGCCTTGTATGACGCGGCAAAATGGGAGGTATCTGGCATTTAAGAATCGCGGCGCATTCAGGGGCGGCAGGGAATCCCTTGGTATCACTAGGATAGTGGGCCGCCAGCTTGAGCTTGGAATTCGAGGATTGTCCTTTGCAGCATGGTTCCGCATCTCCATGCTAGCGCTTGGATTATTATTAGAATTGAGGTTAAAATGCTCAGCCTCCGTAAAGGTAATGGCTCGAAAGATATTTTTGGCGATGGGGAATGGACGAGCCCACTTAGTTGCCAACGGGTAGTACAACTCATGATATACTGGCAATACACCCTGATCTATTTACTTGACGACTCCAAGCACAATCAAATCAGACGCTAGAATTAAAACAGAAATATGGACCCCCATGATTGCAAGAAGGGCTCCGATAACAGCCTGGCAGCATTCGGTGAGCTCTGACGGATCGTCACGCGAGTGTTCAACCTGACCCCTGCGACGTTCTGGGCGTTGTACTCCGTAGGCCAACTTACAGTCTTACAGTTTGGCCTCGCGGTTGACAAAAATTTCCACACATTCGCAGAATGAGGTCACCAACGGCATGGCCTTGGCAAGACAAGACAAGACTTGTTGGTAGGCCCTCAATCAAGGCACGGGAGATCGTCCCCCGAAGCCCCCCCTCGCACTGCCACAGGAGAGATTGGCGTCTGGTCCGTTTCGGTTACCGCTTTCCCCCTGCACCCGTGTTCCCTTCCCACTACCAAACGAACGGATGCTGCTTCGTCGACTCGGTGCTCCGTATCTAGTGGGCATGCTTGCGTGTCTCACAGTTTGAATGCACCGGAGCGGGACTGGGTGCGGCGCCGAGAAACAGCCTCCGGATCACAGTACGACCACCAGTCCACAGACAAAGCCGGGTTCGCGGGAATCCTTGGAATCTCTTTGAGTGACGAGTATCGGGATCGACGTGAGCCTATTGAGGGGACCAAGCTTCCCGGTGCGTAGAGTATCGACGTGGGCTGTTCAATGGGTTAGGCCGCGGTCGCTATTGAAGTCGCATAACCGCGAATGAAAGAAAACCAAGGTCGAGTTCGGCGGCGGCCAAAGCACGCTGTTCCAGACTTTGAAGAGATGTGGGCATTGAATAGTCTGCGATGTCTGCAAGTAACGCAAGGTCTCCCCTCTGGAGGACTTCTAACAAAGAAAATTTTGCTTGTCCGCACGGTCACGCTAGCATGGGATAACAACTAACTAGTTGTTTGACGGGCTTTGGCGTTCGCCCTTGCAGATGTTGCAGCAGACTTTTTTTTCGCCCCATGTTGTTGGATGGCTTGACAGGACAAAAACAAGAATGGGTTGTGTTTGTGGCACAGCGTGGGCGATCTTCGGGGTTCGTGGTTCCACTGAGCTCGTTATCGACGGCCACCTCGTTGGCCAAAGTCTTGGGCTTGCCAAGGCACTTGAGCTGAGATCAAGTCAGAGGTCATTGATCTCCACGCTCCAGTGTGTGGTGCAACGTAAATTCTCCGTGCGTCAGGAAAATCGTTTGTACTACTAGTTGCAGTCTGGTTTTTGTGGAGCGAGGTCTGAATCGACCCGGAGTACCTTGTCATCGTTGCCTCGGCCCATGGGGGATCGTGCCTGGGCGTAAAAAGAATAGTTTGAACAATGAAGAAGGATTAGGGCTCGATATAAATATTGAAACACTGGGAAATCGGAAGAGTTGGGGGCAGATATTTGCCGCACACTCGATAAGTTAAGCACCGAGGTAGTATTCAAGTACGGAGTTACGGTCCCCAATGAGGTCTGGTGCCACACTTGCGGCAACAGGTACGGCTGGCTGGGTGCTCCTTCCCTAATTATTTCTTCCCCTGGCCCTTTTCCCTCAAAACGGCTTTGCGAAGGCTAGCCACACCTCCACCATTTCTCCAATCCACTTATCTTTGTTCGCCTCCCCAATTCAAGGTTGCGTAAATTTCTTATTCTATTATTCCCCCACGCTCTTCCTTTCCTACTTTATCTGCTTCACCCCCCCGCACGTTTCGTTTATTCGTATTATTTGCGTGTCCTTTGCCACATTCGTTCCCTCCATTCTTGCGTTCTTCTTACTGCAATACCCCTCTGGCCGCCTCCTCCCTGTCGTCCGTTCATTACAAACGCCACGACATTACGACACTCCGTCACACAAGACGTTCCATTCACCGTAGCTCAATACCCACTTTTGCGTTTGCTATTTCGTCATTCGCTCCACCATATCGCAGTCGAATCCTCAAAGCACTAATTGCGAGGTTATAAGATCATTGGGAATCTCTGTCGTATTTGCAGTCACTTTGGCAAACCAGTTGGGCCATCAGACGGAAGACGGACTGGCCCATGTCACACAGACGTCTCTACACATTCCTCCTATCCTAATTTGCGTCGATTTCGATTTCAGAGCCTTGGTATAGTCCATCAAGCGGCCCATCATGGCTAGCTCGGCGCAGGCGCATGATGATGACATGTATCAACGAGGTCCGGAACCCTTCCCCGAAATCGAATTGCAACACACCAACCGAAATGATCGTGATTCTATACACGGGAAGCCCCCGCTGCCATCTCTAGACACCCTAAACTCTCTGCAGCATCAAGAGTCTGCGGGACTTGAGACTGTGGCCATGTCACCATCCGTTCAACGCGCCGATGCTAGTCGCCATATTGATGACCTGGAACTCCTACGAGCAGAGCGAGTCATTTCGAATCAGGAGCACGAAGCTACGAAAACTGCATCCAAGAACAGAGCTCATAACGTCGAGCCTGAAGATGCGTTCAACCCAACAGTAAGCAAGGAGGAGCATGTCAGGAAGAGGAATGAGGATGCCGCCCTGTACAAGTTCTGGCTGTTTCTCAAAAAGTTTCCTCGGTTTGTCCGATATTTGGTCTACTTATTTCCCGGAGCGGCTCTGCTTCTGATCCCTGTGCTTCTCGGCGCTTTCAGGTACAACGACGGCAGTAATCTGGTTGGTGGTGACGGAGGTGTCGAACTCATGTGGTTTGGAATTTGGCTCGAGATTGTCTGGGCTTCGTTGTGGGTGTCACGAATGCTGACCAGCTTGCTACCACACATATTCCAGGGTGTTGCAGCCATTCTGGGGTCGACCACTACCAAGAAATGGCGAGATATCGGTGCACAATTAGAACTTCACACCGCGCTGTTTCTATGGTTCCTCGCTATCTTAATCTCATTCAAGCCTACCAACAATGGACATCGACGCGGTACTCCTGACAAGGACAGCTCTGGTAACGACTGGGTGGATATTCTGAACAAAGTCATTATCTCGCTATTCGTCCTCTTCACTCTCAATTTCGTCGAGAAGATTCTGATACAGTGGATTGCTACTTCGTTTCACCAACGCACCTACTCCACTCGAATTGAGAACAACAAGGGTGACATCCGGCAGCTTGTGCAGCTATTTGAATTTGCCAAGGCAAAGCTGGAGGACACTGACAAGTTTTGGCAAGGCCGTGACGGAAATAGCAATGCTAGCGGTGCGCAAACCCCAATGGCCAACTTCCACGAAGGTGCACGTCAGGTACTGGGAAAGGTTGGATATGTCGCTGGGCGAGTTGGAAACGACCTCATTGGCAGAAAAGTCAATACAAATCAGCCTCGGAAAGTAGTTTCTGAGTTGCTGCGCACCACGTCCTCTGCACATACGCTGGCCCGTCTTATCTACCGTAGCGTGGTTCGTGAAGATCGGGATACTGTATACCCTGAAGATTTGAAGCAAGTATTCGCTACTCAGGAGGAGATTGACGCGGCATTCGGCGTCTTTGATAAAGATCTCAATGGCGACATCTCCATCGATGAATTCGAAGCTGTATGTAATGAGATTCGCCTCGAAAAGAAGGCCATCGCTGCCTCACTCAAGGATCTTGACTCGGTTATCCAGAAGCTCGACAAGGTTTTCCTTTTCATCATTGTCGTCATCACCGTTATTGTTTTTGTATCCATCTTTTCCAGTTCTACAGCGGCAGGCTTGGCCTCCGCCAGTACATCCATTTTGGGTTTGGCTTGGGTTCTCCAGGCTACCGCTCAAGAGTTTCTTCAGTCAATCATCTTCGTCTTCGTTAAGCATCCCTTCGACGTTGGTGATCGCGTCACCATCTATGGCTCCACAGGCGCCAATATGACTGGCGACGATTACTACGTTACGGAGATATCTCTTCTCTACACAGAGTTCAAAAAAATGCAGGGGCACATTGTCCAGGCTCCCAATTCTGTGCTCAATACTTTATTCATTCTCAACCAGAGACGCTCCAACGGTCTTTCCGATGTTATTCCGTTGCAGTTCAAGTTTGGCACTCCTGCGTGGATGATTGATGAGCTCAAAGCCCGCATGCTCGATTTCTGTTTGGCCAATAAGCGTGATTACCAGCCGACTATTATTACTGAGATGACTGGCGTGGATCAGATTCGCTCTGCTAACATGAATATGGTTTTTATTCACAAGTCCAACTTCCAAAATGAGCTTCTTCGCCTCAACCGCCACAACAAGTTTGTTACCGAGCTGGTGTATCAACTGGAGCAGATTGGTATCCAAGGTCCTCTTCGTGTCGACCCTGGTGGCAGCCGCGAATACCCCATGTACTATGCTGGCTCACACCCACCACCATACAGTAACGGCAAAGAGCAGCAGCACGACATGTCTGCGAGCCACGTGCCATCGCCAGCAACAGCCCCGTCACGGGGAGCGATGCCTCGTCATAACAGTGTTAGAGGCACGCATATTTCCACCACGAGCGAAGAAGCCATTGTTGGCTTCCAAGATGTTTTTGAAAATCGGCGTGAGCAATCCCTCGCGCGACGAATGGAATCTATTCGAGAAAAGCACATTGCCGAACAAGCAGAAGCTGAGAAGGAGTCTCGGGCATCTACTACCGGTGTCGCACTGACGCCGATACAGTCAGTGAATTCCCAACAGAGGTCACGATTCTTCAGCCGTCACCGAAGCGGGACTAGAAGTCAACAGCATCAACCGCAGCAAAGCGATTTAGTTTAAAAGAAGAATGATGACCGTTTTCTTTCGAGGTTGTTCTGGTGGGCGGCGACAATCATCCTCTTCCCCGCCTTCATTATTTTTATATTGCCATGTCGGTGCAGACGATTGCCGATCAATACTTTAGGAAAGGGGAGGGGCGAGCGCCAGCGTACATGTATTACTTTGCACGACAGCATATGGATGGATATATTTAGATTAGGTAGAAATAAAATGATGACTAACTATGAACCTACAACAAAGACGCTTAGGACTTGGAGTAACAACAGGACCATGAAGGACGCTGATACCTAGCCTGTTGATGCACCATTACCGCTCTTACGGAATATCAGAGCTGGAGAAGCTGCTTCTCGTGGCTTATTCAGGTAGACCAGCATAGGAGGGGCGCTAACATGGTGAAGTCGATCAACATCCGTCTGGCGGTGACCTTGTGGAAGGTTACACATGTAATCACACATGCGGTGCATGTCCAATGATGCCAAAAATAGATCTCACCTACCTGGTACGTACATATGTAGCTTACGGACAGAGACACATCATTGACAAGCCGGCAGAAAGAGTTGATGTTCCAATTTGAAGTCAACTAGCGCGCCTCCCCGCTCAACGGGCCGTTCGGGGCAGATGGAAGGAGCTGCAAGTTGGAGGAGGAAAGTGCAATTCAGCCGCAGATTGTGGCGCCGCCCATGTGTCAAATAGATGAGGATGACGAGTGGTGTGCCCTTGGCCTCTGCCCTGTGCAACGAGCGGGTTTCTTGACGGGCACTGCAGCCGTGGCATTCGACTGCATTTCTTTGCTTGATGTCTTGTTTCGTGTCTGGCTTTTTGCCGAGCGCTTTTGCTTCATCTGCATAGCTGGACACTGTGGGCACTAGAAAAACGGCAGAAGCGACTTGATTGTGGCGGTCTCTGAATGACTACCTAGGTATCGACCTGATGGGAGCTGGACGACGAGATCGAAAAACGTAATCGTGATTCGGCAGGCGCCGCGACACGAGACGACGAACCCACAATGGCCGGTCTGCCTCCTGGTTGGGAGTGGGACTACGATGGCCAACGCTGGTTCTACAAATACAAGCCTACAGGACAGATCCAATACCATTTCCCCTCCGAAGGCGATGAGTTTCCGAATTTTATTGAGGCTGGCGCCCCAGCGCCAGACCTTGCACCCGAAGAACGACTTGAATCTCAGCAGCAGGTCAAGAGGCAGACGAGTTCGGCAGGCAGCGGTGCCGGCGCTCGCTCGAAACGAGCACATATGACGAGCGCGAGCAATGGCGACATCAATAAATACGCCATGTCCGCGACAGCTAAACCCGTCAGTGCGATATGGGAGGGAGACGATGACGCCGAAGCTGATGGCGTGTTTCAGCCAGAGAACTTCATGTTTCTTGGCCCCGGGACCTACACCGACGTGAGCCCTTTAGCGGAGGAGGAAGAAGAGGCAGCTAAAAGGTCTGTTGTTGGAGCCATTGGCGAAAGGGTCCAAGGCGGCGAAACTACGAGGACGACGGCAGCAGCATCTGCTACAGGTGTTAGTCCTCCAGGGAGCAGCAAGACAACTCCTACGATGGCAAAGAGTGAACCATTGACATCATCAGCAGGGCCGGCGGATGCAAGTATCAGGCAAGGCCTTACCGTTGAAAACGCACCAGTTACGCAAAGTGTTCACATTGTTCAGAGCGAGCCTCTCCCCTCCCAACCACCTGTTGAAGTCGAACCTACTGCCGTTGTTGCAGAGGCGTCTGACTCTTCAGTAATTCACATGATCGACAGCCGTGAGATGCCCGTGGAAATGATGGGAGACACAATGCATCGGTTCGATCCCGTAGGGTTTGTTGCCGAGATGCCCACAGAGCATACGGCTGCGGCACATATTGAGCTGTACCCCGAACCCGTGGAGATTGCGGACAATACGGTTCTTGCGCCGGTCGAAACTGCAGCCGCAGCGGCTTCAGCAACGGCAATAGCCGTATTAACAGCCAAGAGCAGCCCGGTCGAGGGCAAGGAGGGCCCCGTTGTCAACACGCCAAAGGGACCCGAGGGGATTCAGTCTACAGATGGTGAGAGTATTACAAGGGAGGATGACACTAAATTTACCGAACAGCAAGTGCCGGCAGACCATGTTCCATCACATGGTCAACAAAGTACTCCCAGCGATCAGCCAACTGCTCCTCTGGCCCAAGATGCTGGTGCGTCGTATGCAAACCAAGGTCCCAGACAAGGTCCTGGACAGTATGGTCCTCATTCAAATCAACATGGACAGGTTCAATCCTCGATCCCCATCAAACTGAAGACGTTCAAGATTGCAAGAAAACAACCAGGGAGTACGCCAGGTACACTGGTCGCACAGCAATCTCAACAATCGGATTATCAAGCATATATGCCAGGCCAGACGACGACAACTGCACACTTGTCAAGCGAGAAAAGACATAGTATTGGACTACAGCGTGAGGCATCTTTAATGATGAACATGGAAAGAAACTCAATCGGCATAGACCCCAATTCTGTTCCTCGTGTGCTGTCACCACCGCAGCATCCGGTGCCAAATGCGTCACGCGAGCCTCTATCAACTCAATTCACGAAACCAACGACTGATAAAAATAAAACTGATAATGTTGACATGTCCCTGGCTCATGCCCCATCAGTACTGAAACTCGCACGGAATAGGAAGTCGGTGCAGGATTCCCTCCCTCAGCAACAGGTTCCAACGCCAGCCGCTGTTGCAACTCCTCCCGCTCAACCACAACCCGATCCTCGGAGGTCCGAAGGAATTTCCAAATTCCCATCTGTCCTTCGTCCAGCACGAGGAAGGTCATCAAGCCATCCAGGCCAGGCAATTGCTAGTTCTGTTCGGCGACCGAACCAACATACAGCGATCTCACAAGACCATCTGCCGCTCAGGGGCAGGGTGTATCAAGTGAACAATAACCAGACTACCATTTCAACCCAGCAGCCCCTATTCCATCATCCTTTGTGGGCTACAGCACATGCGGATCAGACAGCAAGGCCACCCAGTGCAATGCCTATTATAAATCATGTTCCCTATGGATCTCAATATTCAGCTGCCGGTCTTGGTCTGGGTCTCATTCCTCAAGGGAGTCAATCCTCCCAACCGTCATTATCAGGGTGTCAGCCGCCAAAATTTCAAAACCAGCCTTCACCACTACAACATATGCAGGAGGCAATCGCTAGCCAACCTCGGCGACCCCAAACTGTCGTACCAACTATTCAACCTGATTCTGCCAACACTGCCAACGCTCCTAGTACTGTTCAGCCACAGCAACCAGTGTCGGTTCGACCTCTCCAGCAAATCCAAGATATCGTAACAGAACAGTTAAATCGACCTCAGAGCGTTCCAGCAGTTTTTCAGCCGCTGTGCAACATCTCACCCTTGCAGCGCGAGTCAGTTGATAGCCAATTACAGGTCCAACCAGCACAACAAGTTCGAGATGAAGAAGCAGGGCGACCTCAACCGCAGCCGCAACCGCAACATAGGCCCTCAATATCACAGTCCCAGCTCACGCCGACACAACTTGGAAAAAATGTGGCAGGCGAACAGCCCAATCTACCTCAGAATCTCCAAATTGCCGCCAATATCGGCACGGCCGTTGAAACACAATCGCTGCCGACCCAGCAGGAACCACAAAAGAAACTACCACCCTCACTCTTCCAAGTCCAGCCCCTTCAGCAGATCCAGAATGCAGAAGCTGGGCAACCCAGTCAACTGAAAAGTCTCCTGGCTCCTCTTGGCGTCGCGCAACGTGCTGGGGGTCATTCCGCTCCTGCTCAGCAAGAATCGTCTATAGCATCGCAGTTTCAAGTTCAGCCATTAGAAGACACTCAAAATGCGGCATCTGGACAGATTTCAAAGCCAAAAGACGATTTGGGGACTTGGTATTCTCCCACGAGTGATACACGGACTGTTAGCGCTCAACATGTTCGTAGTCAGCAACAACAGTGCCTGGTGTCGCACTTTCAATCGCAAGATTTTCAACAGGCGAATAACGAAGCTGCTAGGCAACACGAGCAACCCTTGAAGCAATCCCCAACATGTCAGTTTCAAGAATCTGCGTCAAATCAAATGCAGAACGACGCAGCACGGCAGCCTCCGAGGCCTCAAAGTGTAATTGGAACTATTCAACACAGCTCTCCCCCTAAACCTCCCAAAACCGCGCTCGCTCCAGACCCCAGTCAACCAGGCTCAGGTGAACCGACTCACCCTGGTATGCGGCGAGCGTCTGTGTTTGCTTCTAGTGAGGTGTCCCCAGCTCGGACTCGTGAAGACAGCCTAGTCTCGACCCTGGGATCACCGCTGCCCACGGATTCAGCCCGACATGGTTCATCAAATCCGACCATAAACGATCCGAATTACACTCCTTCACCACTAACTGATACGACTGGACCACTTGCACAAAATGGCTGGACTCAATCCATCGCATTGAGTCAACAGACCGGAAGTCCTCCCGTGCCTGCGAAAATTCGAGAGCATGCTGAAGGCTCCTTCTTCCCTGTTCAGAACACACCTGACGTGCAGGCATCTCAGGATAGCCCCCCAACACTGGATATGGCCAAGGAGCAGCAGCAAGATACGCTATCCCAACTCCAAACGCAGCCTCAATTTGCACAGCAGGCTGAACAACAGCAATCCCCGCAACTCAGTCAGTCAGCAGAACAAAAAGGTCCAGAAAAGCGACTACCCCAAAAGCCAGCACAAGATACCGAGCATCCTATCGGATATCAAGTCAAACCTCTTGCGAGCCGGTCTAGCCAATCCCCGAATGATCAGCAAACTGTCCTTACGCCAGGGTCAGGACATATACTTGGTCGGATCGAGGAGCGTGATGAAAGCGAACAAGGTCCCAAAATCGACCAGACACAGCAAGTCGCGCGGCCGAGCTCCATGTCTTCTAGTATTCAGGTATCCATACCAGATACACCGGCAAGTTCCCATACATCTACATTACATCATCCGAAACCGTCGGCACCAACTCAAATTCAAAGACCAGTACAGACAATCGGTCAGTCACCAATGGCTTCAGCCCCATTAGGTCAACCTCCATCCGGCCAGCCGCCTCCTATTCAGAAACCACAGAATTTAATCCCACCGGGTTATATGCAGGTTATAATGCAAACTCAAGTCGCACCTGGGCAAATGGCGTCTAATCTCAGTCCCCAGGGCCAATGGAATCCACCAGTGAATCACAATGCCCCTACACAGGAAAGTCAGGAGAAGGAGAGAAAGTGGTCGAAGTGGTTCAAAGGCGGACATACCAAACCTAAGTCTGCACCGCAGCAAATGGTGTCATTCCAGCCAGGGCTGATTCCGGGGTCAGGGCCTCAGCCATGGAGAGGCAGTCCATATGGCCCGAATCATTTCTGGCAGCAGCCCGGGCAGCAGAGGCCCTTTGGCCACGGACAATCTTCGAGTGTGTCTGATTCGGCATCGATATCTACAGTGGGATCTGACAAGAAAAGTCAAGATAGTCATCATGTATCTCCCGGGCAAGTCCCGGCTTCTATACATGCTGATACAACTGGTCAGTTAGCCCCGGAACAGATGATGCAAGGACAACCCATCCAAGGGCAAATGCGTCCGGGACAAGTGCTTCAAGGTCAAGGTTCCGGCCAAATTCCGCCTGTTCAGATGCATCCGCGTCAACAGCTACCTGGTCAGGCACTACCTGGACAAATACCTTCAGGGCGAGGTTACTTTGGGCGGGCTCATCCGCTCCAATTGGCAGCGAATCCTCCCTTGCAAGGCTTTACATCGTCACAACCTCATTCTCAACACCAGGGCCGAGTGGGAATGGCAACTCAAGGATCGTCAAATCCAAACCAGTCACACGTGGGCCATTCTAGGTCACCCTCGACTGTAAGCCAAGCTGGTATACCCCAGCAAGGCGTGCCACCTCAGCAAGTGCATACACCAGTAAGCTACCCGACTCAACACTCGACAGAACGCAACATGATTCCACCACCACTCTTTGCCCCCTCACACGGCCATTATCCAGAAAGCAGCGAGGTGCAGTCACATCTGATGAAGCGGTCGGTCACCAATAACAAATGGGCTCAAAGGCCAGCAGCGGACTATTCTGGGCGTGATTGGGGAGATGAGGAGAATTGGGAACGGAGATGATTAGTCTTGCCCCCTATTCCACAAAAGCCCTCCCATTTTTTTGGTCTTCTTTGTTAATACCATACCCTCAAAGTTGGATTTCCAGATGCGTCATTGTTGGAGGACATGGATGGCGGAGCCCTTGTTGCATATCACAGAACGGTGATGTAAGTCCATCTACTCCTAAATTTTAGTCCCATTTAGCAAGATGCGATTCCACGAATGTGCCAGCAGTTCCTCGCCATGCATAATGTGAGCATGTGTGGACTTGTATCAAAGTGAGAATGTTGCTTGAGTACGTGGTAGGCGGGTGGAACTGAGCACCTGCCTCGTTGCGCCTAATTTTCAGTCTAGTCTTATTGCTCACGTGACAGCGCGTAATGGCGCGACATGGGCGATTGTGAAGTCCAAGTCGAGTTACTTGGTGCCTCGCTTTGAATTTGTTAAGAATGCGCTCCGAATCGGCGCAATGACGATATTCCCGTCTGCTGCACGGGCTGACAAGGCCGCGTTGGAGGGGAGAAATGAGTCACAAGACAGCCAGGCCATTCTCGATGCCATGAAGGCAGAATTCGGAGTCGGCACGGTACGTACCACTCGCAGTGAATTTGAGCCTCGATTCCTAACAATACTCGGTACCGAAGCTGAGCAGTTCACCGCCGAGAAACGGAGCCCAGGCACGTCCATATTGAACCTTTGCGATGTCACTTTATGAAAGCCAATCAACTAACGCAATACAGAGACCTGGCCTTGTTCCTTCGCGTACTGCGCCCCAGGTAGGTTGCTCCCAGTCGCCACCGGCTGATGCAGGCACCCGGACAAGGATGCACTGACAACTCCGGCCATGGAAAAGAAAGCAACACACGAGGCTGCGAATAACGTGTGTGTGAATGTCGCCGCGACCGATCCCCACGTCGGAGGGACGCGAGTTTTCGACGACATACCCGACACAGCTGTTGCAGAAGATGTAGTTCGCGATAGCACCTCTGACAATAAAGCCATGCAATTTGACAAGCCTCGAGCGCCGTTGGATCTCGACAACAAACTCGGGACGGTGCCTGAGCGTGCCCATGGCACGATAAAGATGGACGTTTCGCAACAAACGCCGACCCAGGTCAATGCAGATCGGGACTATGCCGAGTTTTGTGAGCCGCTACCATCGAGCCCGACGTACGACCGGACACAAATCAATACCAACGATGAACCACGGACGCTGAATCCCGATGACACAGGCGCCGTTGACTTTGGAAGCCTCGGTGAATTCGCGAGGCCGTCATCACAAGTCTCTGAGGACGAGGGGTTTGAAAACACACGCGGCGAATGGAGAAGACCCGACGATACGTCGCAATTGCGAGCAAACCACGCGTCGACGCCCTATAAGCCACCAGATCTTCCCCCAGAGACACCCGCGCTTCCCAAGAACCCATTTGGATCCAAGAACAATAGTGCTGTGCCATTTGGTGGCACCCAACTCTTTGGCCAGACACAGATGCTTTCGTCTGCAGCCAAGATAGCGAGCCCAACTTCCTCCCGACCTTCACCAAGCATCTTTCTCAACTCTATATCTCCAAATATCATGGAGGCGTCACCCTTGAAAAATCGAGCTAACGTTTCATCACCTACGGATATTCGAACGTCTAGCCCCACGAGACTACATGAGGTGCCTGCGACTGTACTAAAGAATAACACTCTGAGTATAGTCGTGGAAGAAACGCCCGCGCCATTGAGGTCTCAAAAGGATGAACTGATTCCCGAGTCGCCCACATTCAAAACAGCACGACCGTCCGTGAGTCACCAGCCCATGGCGCATTATGAGCCCATGAATGAATCACAAGAGCGGAAGAAGGGCAGTAGGGATGCCAGGAATGCCCGCCCCGTATTAGACAGTGACTTTGATGAAGCATTTCAAAAGCTGGATCGGAAGAGACGCGTTGAAAGAAAGAGAGCACAGGCTGCTGCGGAAATGGATAAGGTTAGCTTCATGCGGACACAACAGAGATTGTCTGATGAACAGCCTGGAAAAAAGCGCCGAAAGCTAGGCACAGAGGACACGGATGCTCAAGGTGCGAAGAACGAGGGTCAAGGCCAGCCCCTTGTGAAAGACTCACAGAAAGCTATTACACAATCTGCGGAGCAGCCGTCCGAGGAGTCGACAAAAGCTACGCCTGGTGTGGCCGTTGAGTCAGTAGATGCTCAGAAGGAACTCGCAGATGCCCAACCTGCCCCGGAACTTTCAGATGAGGAAATGATTCCGGCGACTAGTCCCGTACGCTCCTCATCAGCTATCTACCAACGGGACACCGCGCCATCAGCGTCTGAACCAGAGTTGCCTGTGCTGAGAGGTAGTGGGACTGAACAGGGTCAGGATGCCATGGATAGCTCTTCGCTGCCACCCATACGACAAGTGTCACAGCGGACGTATAGCAGACGGGGGCGTGGCACTCGAACGCGATTAGTAGTAGTGTCGCCTGCGGAAGAGACGGAGCAAGAGCCAGTCGAACCCGCCAAAGAGCCCGTAGACAGAATGGAAGGGTCAGAAGACACAGCCAAGAAGAAGAACAATGCGCTACCGAGTTCATACTCAGAGCCACCGGTACCCATGGGCACAAGATCTCGCCGAACCGAACAAAGAACCCGGACGCCACGCAGGTCGATAAATGTCGACCGCAACGTCCTCACATCTTCCAGTCTGACTAACCTATCAGGCACACCCGTACCATCATCCAAGACGACACCTGGAACGCAGGACTCACACTCTCCGGACCGCCGCGAGTCTGTTCATCTGGTGTCCCCCGAAGATAGTGTTCGGCCCTTGCGGCGACGTGCCCAGAACGGACTCAAATCTGAATCCCCACAGCCAATGACCAAGGCTATGAGACTGTCACGGCGATCCTTGCGGCTGGATTCGGATTCCACAGATGAGCTTTGCCATTCACCGTCTGCTACGGCCCTCGACCGGAGCACACTCTCTAAATCAGTGCGGTCGTTTAGGACAAGCCTTGCGTCAACATCGCGTACTCGCCGGCTCTTTGATGGGATGGCGTTTGCACTGTCATTCTCAGGAAGTCAGGCACAGAGGACGAAGTTGGAGACCAAAATCTCGCAAGCTGGTGGCATGATTTTGCACGAGGGTTTCCAGGAATTGTTTGAACAGTGGACAGTAGCCCACGCCAATTCCATTCAGGAAGACGGCTCACCGCCATTGCGGCTCACCAAGGCCGGCCTGGAACATGGCTTTGCAGCTGTTATTGCAGACTCCCACTCTCGAAAGGCCAAGTACATGCAAGCACTAGCCCTGGGCCTACCTTGTTTGGCGCCACAATGGGCAACTGCCTGCCTGAAAAGAGGAGTGATTGTAGACTGGGCGCCATATTTGCTATGTGCCGGGGCTTCCCAAGTCCTCGGCAACGCCATCCGGTCACGCATCCTAGTGCCATACTCGGCCCTGGATGCCATCCTGCCCGATACAATAGAAGCCCGAGACAAGCTCCTACATGGGGAGAAGCTCCTGATTGTTATGGATCATAAGAAGTCGCGGAAAGAGACCAAGCAACAGTACCTCTTCCTGGCCCTGGCCTTGAGTCCATCCGCAGTATCACGCGTCACGACGGCTCAACTGGCAGGAGACGCGGTTCGCCACGCAGAACTCTCCGGGTCGCCATTTGGATGGATATACGTGGATTCATCGACGGCAACAGTGGAGGAGGTACTGGCCGCGGCGCAAGAGTCGGGTAAGAGGAGGAGAAAAGTGGCCAGCGAGCCGGTTGGACTGGGGATGCGTGTGCTGACTGACGAGCTCATGATTCAGAGTCTGATACTGGGAAGGATGGTGGAGCTTGGTGAGATGGACGAGTAGACTTTTGCCGGCGACGGCTGTATAATGCACCATGTACTTGTGAAGCGACTTTTTTTTTTTTTTTTTTAAAACCCAAGGCCAGGCTCCCTTTGAGATGGGAGTTGTCACAACTACACATCAGGCCAGACGCCGTTGTTGATATGTGCCGTCTGGAAATCATGCCAATCCATCCATCTCGCGCAGTTTCCAACCAAGCATCGTTTCCTGTGTGCTGGCGCCATCTTCCAAAGTGCGGGCACAACATCCAAACGTGGTAGGAGATGCACCCTCTGTCTTGCTGTATTTAGTCCCGCTTGTAGTTGTACTACTCCTACGTCGCCGAGTCGACGTTTACCAACGCTATCTATCTGATTGGGGGGAAGTCGATCGGCTCACGAGAACTACTCTTGCTCCCGATTAGGTGGCATGACTTGTTAACGGCACAACTCTGATTTTTTCGAATAAGTGTATTTGCCATTATTGATTTTCACTTGGGGTTTCGGTTGGAGTTTCAGTTGGTTCCTCGTGAGGAAAACGGGCTTGCCGTGCAAGTATGTGTTTTGTGGGAGGCTACAGGTACTAGAATAGCTATTTGGATTACGTCATCTTTGGACGGGCCGGCGGATGCTTGAACGACGGGGTTTCGGGTCAAGTGGTTGTGATTGTAAAGTTCAGCATGGTCGGGTGTTTTGAGCTGTTCTCTCTCGCCTGCCTTGGCATATGTATACGGAATAGAGTCGAGGCAATTCAAGCGCGGCAACAGTCGACTTTGTGGACCGAGTTGGGCTCAGCTTAATCACAGCTCATCTGTACCTGCGCAAGCGCTTATCTGAGCCGCAGTTGGCAGTTGGCAGTTGCTGGACTGAAGTCTATCCCTGGTGCATTCGAGTACGTGAGCGGGCTATTCAGTGGAGGCCCTTTTCAATCATCAATTCAGTAGCTTTAATGCCGCTAGAGAGGCCCTCTGAATTTAAGCACATTATCGCTGAAGAGGCCCTTAAGGCTCAAGCTGACCGTTAAAATCATTAAAAACCGCCGCCTTTAACAGCTCCCGCAGCTATTAAAGTATCACGATTATTAAGAGTTATACTCTTAATAGTCTTATTATAATACTACTTAAAAGTTACTTTATAGCATTTAACCTAACTTACTTTCTAAGAAATAGACCTACTATACCTTAGAACCTAAGCCACTATTACAAATAAGTATTCTTTTTCTTCCCTTTTTTTCCCTTTTATCTTTCTTTATTATTCTTTTTATAATATCTTTTAACTATATTTTAAAATAGTAATCTCGCTTTAATTAAAAGATTAATCGTAAATGTCTTTTTAAGTTTATATCTGCTAGTTTATATCTGCCTTTAACTTTATTATACCTTTCTATAATTCGTGTTAAAAAAACAATTAAAAGTGTATTATTATTAAAGGGAAAGATAAGTGTAGCAAATATACTTTACGTAGTTATATTAGCTATAATCTAAGCAAAACGTTTTTTAATACTTATAATTGTATTCTTTATAAAAGAATTATTTTAATAGAGAACGTA